TCATGCTCTTAGGGTGGTGAGGTCGAGCCCCGACACGGGGCTCTGCCCTCAGCACGGAGTCTACTTGGGTTTCTCTCTCCCCCTCCCCAGCTGCCTCTCAAATAAATAAATCTTTAAAAAAAAAAAAAAAAAAAAAAGGCATCCTGCCAAGTGTGGGAAGCCCTGTGCTACCTCCTGCCCTCCCCTGGTGCTCTGTAGCTGGGGAGTGAGAGACAGAGGCTTGGTAGCTTCCTCTGGGACTTCACACAGTCACTGGCTGATTCTCTCTGGCTTATCTTGTCAACCTTTGTGTTCTGCTTAAAGAAGCATGCTGTTGTCTGTCACAGTGTATGTGCGGGGGGCCATTAATTTTGTCCCTGCTCCTTGGCACCAGGGCGCAGGTATCAGAGCCCCCCAGAGTGCCGTGGTTGTCGTCTGTCACAGCTGAGGCTGGACCGGATCTTAACTGACTGCCCATCTGGGTAGGGTCTTAATCATCTTCCTCTCTCCGTCCACAAGGGCAGTGCACGGCCCACCCCAGGCTCCGCCAATCTCAAGTAAGGGGCATGGGGACCGTGGGACTTTATTTTTGCCTTAGACTTAGAAGAGAAAGCTGTCTCCCAACAGTGTACAGGCTGGCCAGACATACTTCGTCTACCTTCTTCTTGTCCTCTTATCTTCCTTTGAGGAGGGGTGAGAGAGGAGCAGGGACAGCCGTCAGAGAAAAGGACATCCTATAAAATAGGGATGAGTACTTGGAATTCATTCTCTCGTCTCTCCAGTGGAAGGGGAGCCACTGCAATTAACATTCACAAAGCATGTGAGGAATTCGAAGCAAGAGGCAATAATGGCTCTGTGGAGAATGTCAGGATTGATTTTTCTTTCCTCCTGACTGGTATATGCCAGCTTGCCTCGCAAGCGTATAGTAATCCAGAAGGTTCATTTCCTGTTACTGGTGCGTGTTATCAGCTGAGCTTGCTGCCCACCCAGACCCCCTTCTCTTCTTCCCTTACACCTGGCATAAAGCAACCCTGTGCTGTTCCTTTGTGCCACTGCCTCAGGGCGCCTACCCACACCCTTGATTGTTGGGGAGGTAGATAATTTGGCTGTTTTTTCTCCGTTTCTCCGTTCTCACCAAAAGGATGTTGCTGAATGCAGAATGCTAAAGCCGGCCCTCTTTTTGCCTTCTGGTGCTGGCTGCTCTGAAGTCACTATATTTAACATCAAAGTGTAGACAGCAGCAGCCAAGAAACCATGCCACTGGCTTGTGAGGCCCCTCCCAGCAGGACGGCCTAGGATTTCAGGCGGTGGGGGTGGGGGCGGGGGGCGCGGAGAAACCAAGCTGGAGAGAGCGCTATCATTGCCGGCAGGGTCCAGGCTTCAGGGCATCCCCAGCCTCCACCAGGCTGGAGACAGCCTTTTCTGAACGGGGAAAATGCCATGGCAACAGCATTAAGCTAGCCTACTGTCTTGCACTGAAGGCTTAATGGGAGCTGTTTCTGCCCAGCCCTGCCCAGTCCAGCCCAGCCAAGTCCAGCCCCACGCAGTCATGCCCTGCCCTGCTTAGCCCAACCCTGCCCTGCTGAGCTCTGCCCTGCCGTGCCCTGCTCAGCCCAGCCTAGCCCAACCCTGTTAAGCCCTGTCCTGCCCTGCCCTATTTAGCCCATTCCAGGCTTGCCCTGCTCTGCTCAGCCCAGTCCGCCCAACCCTGTTCAGTCCTGCTCTGTCCTGCCCAGCTCTGCCCAGCGCTGCCCAGCCATGCCCAGCCCTGCCCTGCCCTGCCCTGCCCTGTTTGGCCTAATCCAGCCTAACCCTGTTTAGTCCTGCCCTGCACTGCCCTGCTCAGCCCAGTCCAGCCTAACCCTGTTCAGTCCTGTCCTGCCCTGCCCAACCCTGGCCTGCTCAGCCCAGTTTAGCCCAGCCCAACCCTGCCCAGTCCAGCCCAACCCTGCCCAGTCCAGCCCAGCCCAACCCTGCCCAGCCCAGCCCAGCCCAACCCTGCCCAGTCCTGCCCAGTCCAGCCCAGCCCTGCCCAGCCCTGCCCTACTCAGCTCAGTATAGCCCAACCCTGTTCAGTCCTGCCCTGCCCTGCCCAGCTCTGCCCAGCTCTGCCCTGCCCAGCCCGGTCCAGCCCTGGCCTGCTCAGCCCCTGGCCATTAGCATTTCACCAGAGAACTTGGAAAGGTCAGTTTTTGCAGCCAGGGTCACTGGCATTTTGATCTTTATCCTTCCCGAGGGCTGGCTGCTGGGAATGACTTGGCCCATTGCTCCCTGGAGCATTGTGTTTCTGCTGTTGCACCAGGGTTTATCTTCGGTTTTGACGATTTACGTGACAAAAGAAATGAGATTGAATTTTGCTTCCTCTGGGCCAGGGACAGGCCCGAGTGAGGGATCCCGCACTGAGTGGCCGCTGTTGCAGGGGCAATCAGATACAACTTTGTTCCCATTGCTGGGAATTCTTTTATGAGGAGAGCAAAATCAGAACCGATTTGAGCTCCTTTGTCAGCCTTACTCCCCTCATCTGTTTCAGCCGAGCCGAATACCCCCGGTTGTATTTATGTGGCATTTCCAGCAAAATGAAAAGAAAGCAGCATTCTTTTTGGGTTGATTCTTTATAATCAAAACGAGTATATACCTTTTAGCTTGGAAACTCAGAATCCCAGTAATTGAATAGAATCCGCTACCCGGAGGATAAGTTATCATGCCTTTGAACCCCTTCCCGGTATTATTAGAGGAAGGGAGCGGGTGAATATAAGGTTAATGGATTCTGCTGCTAAACCGAACTTGGAAATGAGGTTTCATTGATTTAATATTTCCTCCATTAAGCCTCCCAAGACAGTGTCCCTATGGCCCCACCAAAGTGCAGTCACAGACTTTCTTCCTCGTAAGTCTGGGCCGCGGCCGGTGCTATGACAGGGACAGATGTCCCGCTCCGCAGGGCCCTAGGGGCGCTGGCCTCTCCCCGGGCTGGCTCAGAAAGGGGGATACCCCGCGGCACACAGGCCGAGTGGCTTTATCTTGAGGGTGTGCTCTGCGTTTATGGCTGCAGAGATTTCCTTGCTGTTGGGGCCCTTTTGGGGAGTCGCCTCTTCTGGGAGTGGACACTTGGAAGGGGAGGGCTGTTCAGAGACAGCTGAGGGTGGCAGGGAGGGCGGTGGGCTGGAGGCACGAACCGTTTAACCCACACACTTGCCTGCTCAGTGCCCTGGATGAAGCCTGGTGCCAAGGGAGCACACTGCAGGGCCTGTTCCAGAAGCTTCCTCCTGCCTGTCCTCTCAGCCTTCCTCTGTAGCCTCTGCTCTTAGTCTTTGCTTCTGCAGGCTAAGCTGACTGGTGTTTCGAGCCATCATGCAGGGGGCCTCAGCCCTCTGCCTTTCCCACCATGGCTCTTGTCCCCACCCCCAAAGGGGCTCTCCTGACACGGCCCCTCTTTTCCACATGCATGCCGTGCACGGTGCCGGGGAACAGTGTCTCTGGGGTCCGTCTGCCTCGGCACAGTCGCGGACACGGGTTCTCATCCCTGCCTCTCCATCTCCGTACGCGCTTTCCTCTTCTTTTTTTTTCTTTTTTTTTTTTTTAAAGATTTTATTTATTTATTTAACAGAGAGAGAGAGAGAGAGAGATCACAAGTAGGCAGAGCAGCAGGAAGAGAGGAAGGGAAGCAGGTTCCCTGCTGAGCAGAGAGCCCGATGTAGGGCCTGATCCCAGGAGCCTGAGACCATGACCTGAGCCGAAGGCAGAGGCTTAACCCACTGAGCCACCCAGGCACCCCGCGCTTTCCTCTTCTTATACAGGGCACTCACCAAATACTGCCTCTGTCCCTGCCAGCCTGGCACGCTCGAGGACTTCAGGGATGGTGCCTCTGGTCTCCCAGTGCCCTGCCCAGTCTGCTGCGCGTTCCAGCGCGTCAGGGGTCTTTGGGTGCTGTGGTTGATGGATAAAGAGGGCAGAAAAGTTGGGGATATGTCTTTTTTGGCAAAAATTTAAAACAACAAGGCTTTTTAAATACAGACCAAAGCTGTCGCACAAATGTTTTGAGCAACAGCTATATTTTGGGAGTGTGTTGTCACTGCCTGGAAGTACAGGCTTTGTTTGGATGTGTGAGTTCTAGTATGTTATATAAAGAACAAGGACACTTCCTGCATGTACGCAGGTCATCGGTGTCGTTATTTGAGTAGCAGTGGAAGTGTGGGTTGTATGAACAAAACGGTGGCGATATTCTCCCCCTCATGAAGTGTACGTTTGGGATGGGTCAGGTTTGGAATTGGTCTGGATCCGAAGTCCAGCCTAGGTAGTAGGCGGGGTGGTGTCATTCAACTGTTGAGGCTTTGGAGACAGGCAGACCTGACCTTGAACACACGTCAGCCCCAATCCAGTAGTGAGATCCTGGCCAATCACCCAACATTTCCGAGCCTGTTTCCTTCCTTTAAATGCAGGAGGGAGGGGCACCTGGGTGGCTCAGTGGGTTAAGCCTCTGCTTTCGGCTCAGGTCATGATCTCAGGATCCTGGGATCGAGCCCCACATCGGGCTCTCTGCTTGGCAAGGAGCCTGCTTCCTCCTCTCTCTCTCTGCCTGCCTCTCTGCCTACTTACGATCTCTCTCTGTCAAATAAATAAATAAAATCTTTAAAAAAAAAAAAAGGCAGGAGGGAATAATACCTATCTTAAGGGGGCTGTGGGGTTTTTTTAAATTTAATTTTTGAAAATTGTAATTGTGTTATAACCCACATCCCATAAAAATTGCCGTCTTAAACATGTTTTAAGTGTTAAGCACCTTCGTGCTGTCATGCGGCCAATCTCCAGAACTTTTCATCTTGGAAAGCTCGGGCCCAGATCTCTCTCTCTCTCCCTCTCTCTCTCTCTGGATTTTCCCTTGTGAAGGCAGCGCCCCTAGAACTGCTCTGTTGGCTCAGCCCATCTGCTTGGGAGGAGAATGTGGTGGTTCTGGGCCCTTCCTGTTTCCTGCCAGGGCCCCCTTATTCCGGGAGAAATGTAAATCCGTCTTCTCTCTGACTTTACAGAAAAGGCAACAGATGGCTCCCTGCAGAGCGAGGACTGGACGTTGAACATGGAGATCTGCGACATTATCAATGAGACAGAGGAAGGGTATGTGTATCCCCCCTCCCCCGCCATCTCCTGTGAAGCTGGTCAGCTCCTGGGGGGGTCACTCAGAGCCTGTCAGGGCTTAAGGGCGGGGGTGTTTGACTTTGTTTTGTTTCCAGGCTGTTTGCTTTGGTATTTAATAAATGGATACAGTTCATTATCTTTCCTCTTGCTGCCCGCACTTGGTGGGGACCCCACCAGCAGTGAGGCCCTCTTTTAATGACCTGCTTTGAATCATCATGACAACGAAGTCTCCTGGTTACCTGGCGGTCACCCCCTCCTGCCCTTCTCCCTGGCTCTGCCTCCCCGTCACCAATGCCAGGCTGTCTCTGTCCTGCTTTGCTGGGCTGGAGGCGCAGGAGGGAGAGGGCCCGTGGTGTTCATAGAGGGTGAAGGTCGGTGTGAGGCACAGAGCAGCAGGTGTGTCTGGCAGGGTCCCCCCACCCCCCAAAACATCCCTCCCCTGCCGGGTTGGTTCTTTCTGGCTGTCCCTTTATATCCTCTTCAGCATTCCAGCTACGTTCTGTTTACGCTTCCTCCAGATTGGTCTGTGTTCGGCTTCTATTCATGCCACACAGAACGGTGCTTCCTGTAGCCATGCCCTCTGCAGCCGTCTGCGGAGTGCCCAGGGGATAGGCCGGACTCCAGCAGCCCTAGGCTTGCCTCTTGGCGCTGGCCCTTGCCGCCTTGCGGTGTATCAGCTGGGGCTGGTCCTGCTCTCAGTGAACAGATACTGACTGAGGGGCTACCTCGTGCTGGGCCCTGGTGTGATGTGAGTGCCCAGGGCACGGCAGGGAGCAGGACAGACGCCCTGGAAGCCATTACACGTTCCATTACGTGGTCACATTACATGGTCAGCTGGTTACAAGTCTGGAGTGAAATGAAGCAAGGGAGGGTGAAGGCTAAGACTTAGCTTTTTTTTTTTTAAGATTTTATCTATCTATTTATTTATTTATTTATTTAAAGAGTGTGCACACTCGAGCCCCGGTTTAGGGGCAGTGAGGCAGAGGGAGAGGGAGACAGAACCCCAAGCAGACCTCTTGCTAAGCGTGGAGCCTGACTCCGGACTCCATCTCACATCCGGAGGTCATGACCTAAGCCAAAATCCAGAGTCAGCCGCTTAACTGAGTCACCTGGGCGCCCCTGGGAGTCAGCGATTTTAAGCAGAGGAATCAAGGAAAGCCTCACTTGAGAAGGTGACATTGAAGAGCGACTTGAAGGAGTTGAGGGGGTGAGGTGTGAAGATGACAGCAGGGAAGAACCTTCCAGGCAGAGGAAGCAGCAGGCACAGCAGCACAGAGGGCGGGCTAGTATGTTTGAGGACTAGCAAGATGGTGGTGGGGCGGGTGTGGAGAGAGTGAGGAGGGTGGGACATGCCCCCATCCAAACAGTGCAAGGCTCTGGCCTTGACTTGGAGGGGAGGGGATTTGGGCAGAGAGGGGCGTGGTCTAACACTCATTTTATCTATCTGTCTATCTAACTATTTATTTGAGAGGATGGAGGGGGTGGCAGAGGGAGAGGGAGAAGCAGACTCCCCGCCGAGCAGGGAGTCTGATGCAGGGTTGGATCCCAGGACCCTGGGATCACAGCCCCAGCCGAAGGCAGACACCCAACCAACTGAGCCACCCAGGTGCCCCAAGTCTAATGCACATTTTTTAAAAAGATTTTATTTATTTGGCAGAGAGAGAAATCACAAGGAGGCAGAGAGGCGGGGCGGGGGGGGGGGAAGCAGGCTCCCTGCTGAGCAGAGAGCCTGCTGCGGGGCTCCATCCTGGGACCCTGAGATCATGACCGGAGTCGAAGGTGGAGGCTTAACCCACTGAGCCACCCAGGTGCCGCTCTAACGCACATTTTTAAAGAGATCTCTCCTGCTACCATGATCAGAGTGGCCTGGTAGGAAAGGCCGAGGGCAGAAAGAGGGGAAGCAAGTTAGGAGGTGTGGGATGATGGCACTTTTGACATGGATGACAGTAGAGGAGGGAGAGGGAAACGGTCAGCTTCGGGATATATTTAGAAGGTGGAGCCAGCGGGGTGTGCAGAGGTGGCTATGGGCGGGAGAGAAGAGAAGAGTCAGGAAGACTCCTGTGTTTAGGGCTGAGCCACCATAGGGAGGGAGCAGGACGAGGATCAAAGATCAGAAGGTCAGCTAAAATCCTACAGCTCTGAGCTGCCTGCTGGGCCCCAGCGGGGATGCTGTCCATCTGGAAGGCCTGGGTATGGAGCTGGGGGAGGGAGCCTGTGCTGCAGGTGCAAGTTGGGGCGTCTTCAGTCCAAGATGGCATACTGCTGCCTCTAAATGCAGGGGTCGGCTTGGTGCCCGGCACACAGCCACATCAGAGTGGTTGGCGGCTCTGCATTTCCAACGCCAGAGTCACGGGCTCCCCTTCTCTCTCATGCTGCCCTCTCCTGTCCTCCTTTCTGTGGTCATCCAGCCACATCGGACCCCACAGATGAGCTGGAACCGGTTCCAGGATGCCAAGGCTAGTGCGCCCCTGCTGCTCTGATGGAGGGGTCCCCCTGGGGGGCCCGGGCGGGCTGTGGCCGAGGTGTGTGCCCATCGCCGCAGACACGTGGGCCAGGAAGAGAGGGTGGAGTACGGACGGGAGCACGGAAGGGCAGCGTGTTGGGGCCGCAGGTGGTCTGGGCGGGCCTGGAGTGTGGGGGTGTGTGAGAGATGAGCTTCTTCCTCCCAGGGTGGAGGAGGCTGGGGCACCTTACATTCCCAACACTCCGCTCACCTTCCTTCTAAAGTGGCCCACGCTCCTGGGCCTGCAACTGTGAACGAGAGCACGTTCGGGACATGCGGGGATTTTCTGTCTCACAGCCCTTATGGGGAGGTGTTTGTCAAATCTCTCCCTAAGCGGGAGAAAACCCTGAAGTTCAGCTAACGGTCGGGAGCCCCTTCAGCTCCTTCCTGCTTTGGGGCTTTGGTCCCTGTGTTCCTGCTGTTTCCCTCTTGTCTCTCCCTTTCACCGATCAGATCAGTTCTGCCTTGCCCGGGACCTCAGTTTGAAGCGCATTTCCCTGCCACCCCTCTCTTCCTGATCTGGACAAGTCCCCCCATGTGTGATGTCACAGTACCCTGTATGACAGCAGGCGCTTCACAGCGCAAATGTACACGTCCGTGTGATGTTTGTGAGTGGCTGTCTCCCCCACAGACCCCCTCAACTGTGCACCCCATGAGGGCAGAATTCTGTTTCACGTGCTGTTTTTTGCCAACACCTAGCGCAGTGGACATATAACTGACTCTTGAAAAGCATTCGGTAAATAAGAACACACGGATGGAGTCCCTAAGGGACTCCGTCTGCTGAGGAATGCAGGACGCAACCCCCATGACACAGCGTGCCAAGAGACGCTGCCTCTAACCGAGAGAGACCAGAGCCACGGCAGCTGGCTGGCCCTAGCGCTGTCTGCGGCAAAGGCTGCTTGGAGGAGGGGACGCCCAGGTGGCATCTTGTAGCATAGGAGGGCACCCGCCAGGTGAGGCGGGTGGATGGCAGGCGGGAAGGCAGACACCCAGGCTGGTGGGTCCAAGTGGGAAGGGGAGTGTCGTAGGATTAGAGGTGTGGAGCCTGGAGCCACCTGCCCAGGCTGGCATTCTAGGGCTCCCACTCCCTTGCTGTGTGTGCCCCTATGTCTCGGAGTCCTCGTTTATGAAGTGCGGGTACCGCTAGTGCCTATCACAGAGGCTTCTTGGAAGGATCAAAGGAATAAACATTACAAAGTGTCTGGCTATGTGTGCATCCATGTCCGTGCTCTGCATAGGGACATGCTCTTCATCCGTTAAAGACGTCACCTGGCTTATGGTGCCCCCCCTACCCCGGCCTTCACCTGTAGTGTTCTCTGGCCAGTCCTGGGTGCTGATCCCTGTGGCCTGCCGGGCCCGCCCCTGTCCGCCATGCTCTGAGGGCTTGCCGTGTCTGCACTCCAGGCCGCTGCTCGCCAAGCCTAGAAGGCTTGAGGCAGCCCATGCTCACATGCCAGAGGTCGTCACCACCTGGCTGAGAAGGGCAGAGGCAGGATGCAAGCCCGAGCTGGCCTGGTTCCAGCCGCCCAAACTCTGCCTACGCTTTCTTACTCAGAGCTTCACCTCTGCGATGTTGTGTCCTGGGGGTGCAGATTTGAACTGGCCCATAGGCCCCTCCTTGGGCTTTCTCTAAAGTGTCCAAGGCTGAGCTGCCCTCCATTTTAAGGCCTTGTGTGACAGTCCCTCATCCCCTGCATCTTTAGCCATTAATGAGGTGTGCCCAGCTCAAGAACCTGGCTGGGAATGTTTTAGTCCCCGTTTACCAGGCCTTGCCCAGACCGACCCAGTTCGGTCCCAGGTGTATGGATTGGTGATGTGCTCCCCAGGGACTCTGGTGTGTGTGTTGGAGAAGGATCCGCTGACCTGCTGACCTGGGGGCATTTTCCTGACCACCTCCGGACCTTCCCTTGCTCAGGGAACCTTCAGCCTCTAAGCCGGGGCCTGCAGGGAGGAGCAGGATAACAGCAGAGAGAGGGCTCGGAGGTCCCGAGTGGGGGAGGAGGGACAGCCGTGTCCTCGGAGGGAATAAAGAGAAAGCTGCTGCAAAGCCGTGGTTCTGGAACCACAGGACAAGATGAGTTCGGTAGGACTAGAAAGAAGGGTTCTTAGGAGCCTGGGGTGGAGGAGGCCTTGGGGAGGCCCAAGATGGCCCAAAGGCCAGGTTTTGAGGCCCTGAGTGCTGACCTTCCTGCTACCGGGGTAGGGGGGGCATCTCACGGGGGCCCTCCCTTCCTGTTCCTCTCCCCGCTCCATCATGGCTCTTGACTCTTCCTTCTCTCCTTTTTCCCTGATTCCAGCTCCTTGCTGTCTGATCTGTGGCTCTGCTTGAAACTTTGCAATTCCTCTGACATGACTTTGATCCTCCTCTCTGAAGCTTCTCCCCTGGGGAGAGAGATAAATACTTGCTTTTGTGCTCACCCAGTCACTCCGAGGCAGTACTTCCCTCTGCTGAATTTCCATTTTAACTCTAACCCGGGAGCCTGCTGACTCTCTGATTTCTCCCCCCCTGCCACCATCACCCCCACACTGGGAGAGCTCTGTGCACGCTCTGCTCTGTGAGCTCTAAGTGATCGCGGCCCTTGGAGGCTGTTCTCATTTTTCTGCTCGGTGGAAGTTCAAGAGGAGAGGGACGAAGCCGGATTGAGAGGGATGGCAGCTGGGGGTCAGGGCTGACCGTGGCTTGGCAGAGCCTTGGAGAGAGAGGAAATCAATCCATGCTCCTGGCCAGCAGCCACTGACCTTCACCAGCTCAAGTCCACAAACAGTCCTCAAAGCCAGGAGCTTGTCAAGTCCCATATTTGCAGAAATCAGCATTCCTGTTTGGAAACTGCAGCCATACTGCAAACACGCTTGGCAGGGGCCCATTCCCCAGAGAAACTCATCCCGTCAGCCTTTGGGCTCAGGAGCCAAGAATTCCTGCAGGCAGCCACGTTTCAAGTTCAGGATGGGAAATAGGTGACTCAGGGCATTCTAAAATTTCTTCTAGAAGTCTTGGCTGCCTCCTGTGTATTTCTGTCTCCATGGGGCTGATTGCCAGAGCTTCCAACCTCCCTTCCCCCAGCTTTCTCACACGTATTTGAAAGGGCTTTTTCCTTTGGTAAAGAGATCATAAATATTTGAGAGCTATAGGAATAGGAGGTCTCTGACTTACAAACCTTCAGCTTTCGAAAGACCCAGATATTCTGACATGTTGATCACTGGAAGGCTAGAGCCCATGTGTGTAGCAAAAGGCCAGCCTGCAGGCAGACTGGGGACTCTCAGGAGAGCGGGTGATGGGGCAGCAGGGGCCAGGGGCTTCATGCTAGACCTAGCAGAGTCCTGAAGCTTTGTTGGATCCTGGCTTAGAATAAACAAAATAACTTGTTAGACCAAAGGGCTGCACCTTCTAGCTGCTTCTAGAGGACTGGCCGGGGACCATCACTCCCAGCTCTAACTGTGATTTAAGGAAGAACGTTTTCCAGGTTCCAAACAATCAGCTTATGAACATGCCTTTGGGAATCCACATCAGCTCCATTACCTAAAAACACACAAGTCTTTGGGTTTTGAGGAGACTTAATTAAGTTTTCTTTCTTTCTTTCGTTTTTTTTTTTTTAAGATTTTATTTATTTATTTGACAGAGAGAGAGAGAGAGAGAGAGAGATCACAAGCAGGCAGAGAGGCAGGCAGAGAGAGAGAGGAGGAAGCAGGTTCCCCGCCAAGCAAAGAGCCCGATGCGGGGCTCGATCCCAGGACCCCGAGATCATGACCTGAGCTGAAGGCAGAGGCTTTAACCCACTGAGCCACCCAGGCGCCCCTCTTTCATTTTTTTTTTTTTTTTTGAGACTTTCATTTATTTATTTGAGAGAGAGAACATGAGCAGGGCCAGAGGCAGAGGGAGAAGCAGACTCCCCACTGAGCAGAGAGCCTGATGCGGGCTCGATCCCAGGTCCTGGAGATCATGACCCCAGATGAACGCAGACACTTAACTGACCGAGCCATCTAGGTGCCCCTTAATTTAGTTTTCTCAGGGCAAAAAGGAGCTCCATGGAACTGGGGAAGAGTTGAGCATCCAGGCCTTAGCAAGGAGCTGGCCATTCTTTGTTCTCTGTCTGTTGTCTCTTTGGCGTACCCGCATCAGTGGGTTAGTTGTTGTTTTGAATAAAGAATATTTGCATGGGATGCAAAATGAAAAAGGACCGCAAAGAAGCCCAGTGACAAACCTCTTGCCCTCTCCTCTCTGCCACCCAGCTCCCCCCCTAAAGGGGAGCTGACTAGAGTTACCAGCGTCTTGGGGCTCCATCCAGAGATTTTCTCCTCTCTGCTGGCATGTGTATATGTATGTGTATTATGTGTGTTGTCTTTTTATAAGCCAGAGAGGAGCATACCTTATCACTGCTCTGCACACAACTCTGTTCACAATTCTTTGAGTTGGCTCGGTATTAAGGAGTGTCTTTATGTTTTCCTGCGGCTATATCGCGTTCCATTGTGTGGATAAACATGACTTAAATTAACCTGTTTCAGGGCACCTGGCTGGCTCAGTCAGAAGAGCTACGCAACTCTTGATTTCAGGGTCGTGAGTTCGAGCCCCACGTTAGGTGTAGAGATTACTAAGAAAACTTAAATGAAACTTTAAACAAATTAGAAAATCTTTCGTTTAAGTTAGAAAAATTTAAACAGATTTTTCTTAAAGTTAACCTGTTTCACAATGACGAAGATTTCGTTTGTTTCCGGTCTTTTATGTGTATAAACGTGCCACCTAATACTTTGTGAGTAAGCAACAGCCTTGTATACATGCTGGTTCTCACCAACAGGAGTGACTCTGTAGGGTAGCGCCCCCGAGTGGAACTTGCAAGGATTTTAACGTTTCCTTCTCTCCAGGCCCAAGGACGCCATTCGAGCCTTGAAGAAGCGGCTCAACGGAAACCGGAACTACAGAGAGGTCATGCTGGCATTGACAGTGAGTGCTGCCCTCGTGGGGGTGGGAAGGTGTCTGGGGAGATCCATGTTCATGGCCCTGCCCCGCTCCCATGGCCTTCGCTCTCTCCACTCAGCACAGCCTCTGGCAGCCATGGCCTATGGATGGCTTGGCGCGAGAATTACTGGGGTGTACCAGAGCCTTCCCATAGTGCCCTTGGGTTTTCCTGCCTTCCCCCAAAGTGGGGCATGAGCTGCAAGCTGATACATACGAACAGAGGATCAGGCATGTGTGACACTGACTAGTACCGAAACCCAGAGCACACAAGCCAAAGGCCTGGCTGTGGACATCCTTCCGGCCACCAGCCTACTGTGAAACAGCCCCACTGGCTGCCTTTCTGGCTGTCACGTCCCTCCTTACAAAACTGCTGACTTCCACCCAGAGCCTGCCTGGGACTGGGCTGGCTCTTTTCAGGTGTTAAAGCGATTGCTTACAGTAACCTTCCCAAACAGATGTCATCATCCACTCAATGCGTCCCCTCACTGCGGACAGAGGTCTGTGGGTTCACCTAGACTTTGGGCTAGTGAGTGCCCAGCTTTGAATTATGGAGGCGTAGAAACTGGTCATTGGTTCAGAGATTCTGGAAAAAGTCAACCTAGTGACTCCTTTCCGGAAGAGACAGACCAGATTTCTGCCCTTTCTTCAAATGTCAGGAAACTCAAAAGGACAACTTTGGGTGTTATTTCTGTCTGGAAAGCTAACAGTTACTGAGATGTGGCAAAATCTGGGCCACAGTGAGTTCTTATAATGAAAGCTGTAACAGGTCAGCACCGCGGGCCTCTCTGCAGGTTTGAATAGTTTGTTGTTTATCCAAAACAGCTGTAACATGTTTCCTTTTGAAGCAGAGAAACTGGATTTTACAACCAAGTGGAAACCCAAGACTTATTAGGAGAGTGTTCTCTGCCAGAGAATTGGGGTTTGGATAATAAAGACGAAAAAGACCAGCTGAGAAATAGTGACTTGAAAGCTTTGGTGTTTCCTCAGCATTTGAGCAATGGCATTCACCAAACCCAGAGTGATGCCCAAATCAATTGTTTTTAGTAACTAAAATCACTAAAATCACCAGGGAATGAACTCTAAGATGTTGGGGCAGTTTCCTGGTATCTAAAACATATCCCTTTACACACCCAACTTCATGGTAACCATGTTGGTTGGATGGAAATCTTTCAATCTTTCAATCTTTCTTCCCTTTTTTTTTTTTTTAAAGATTTTATTTATTTATTTTAGAGAGAGAGTACATGAGTGGACACAAGAGCAGCGGGGAGGGGGAGAGGCAGAGAATCCCATGCAGATTCCACACTGAGCACAGAGCCCGATGTCGGGCTTGATCTCATGACCCTGAAATCACAACCTGAGCCAAAACCCGAGAGTCAGACGTTCAACCAGCTGAGCCACCCAGGCACCCATGGATGGAAATCTCTAAAGTGGTCTCTGTCTTTACTTCCTTCTGAAAGAATATGGTGAACGTCATAGAAACTTCCCTGATGGCTAGGTTTATTATTATTATTGTCACTCCCTCAGCTTTATTGAGTTATTGACATATAACATATGTGAGTTTAAGGTGTACAGTGTGATGATTTGATACACATGTATATAGCAAAATGATGATCACCGTAAAGTTAGTTGACATCTCGGTCACCCCACATAACTACCTTTGTTGGGGAAGGGGGAGATAGCATTTAAAATCTAATTTCTTGGGGCGCCTGGGTGGCTCAGTTGGTTGACGGTCTAGCTCTTGATTTCCGCTTAGGTCATAATCTCAGGGTCCCGGGATCCAGTCCTGTGTTGGGCTCCCTGCTCAGAGGGGAGTCTCCTTAATAATAAATAAATCTTTAAAAATAGATCTAATTTCTTAACTGTAAAGTATATACTACAGTATTGTTAATTATAGTCATCATGGTCTACATTAGACCCCAAGAGCTTACTCATAGCTGGGAATTTGTACTCTTTGACCAACATCTCCCCATTTCCCCTGCCTTGCAGCTACCATTCTACTCTGTTGATATGAGTTCAGCTTTTTTTTAGATTCTGCATGTAAGTGAGAACATTAGGTATTTTTCTGTATTTGAGTTGTTTTGCTTAGTGTAATGACCTCAAGGTCCATTCATGTTGTTGCAAAAGGCAGAATTTACTTCCTTTTTATGGCTGAAGATTATTCGTGTGTGTGTGTGTGTGTGTGTGTATACATGGATAAAGAAATAGTACATGTATATGACATTTTCTTTATACATTCATCCGTCGTGGAATACTTGCGACTGTTTCTGTGTCTTGGCTATTGTGAATAATGCTGCAGTAAACAGGGGGGTACAGAAAGTTCTTTGATACCCTGTTTTCATTTCTTTTAGATGTATACCCAGTAGTGGGATTGCTGGATCATATGGTAGCTCTGTTTTTAATGTTTTTTTAGAACCTCCATATTGTTTTCCATAGTGGCTGCACCAATTTACATTCCCACCAACAGTGCACAAGGATTCCCTTTTCTCCACATCCTTGCCAACACTTGTCTCTTGTCTTTTTTTTTTTTTTTTAAGATTTTATTTATCTATTTGACAGAGATCGCAAGTAGGCAGAGAGGCAGGCAGAGAGAGGGGGGAAGCAGGCTCCCCATTGAGCAGAGAGTCTGATGTGGGTCTCGATCCCAGGACCCTGGGATCATGACCCAAGCCGAAGGCAGAGTCCCAACCCACTGAGCCACCCAGGCACCCTATTGTCTTTTTGAGAATAGTTATTCTAACAAGTGTAAAGTGAGCTCTTAAGGTGGTTTTGATTTCAGTTTCCCTGATGATTAGTGATGTTCAGCATCTTCTCATGTCCCTGTTGGCCATCGTGCATCTTCCTTGAACACGTCTGTTTAAAGTCCTTTGCCCATTTTTTAAAAGTTTATTTATCTATTTTTAGTAATCTTTACACCAAGTGTGGGGCTTGAACTCAAGACCCGGAGATCAAGAGTCCTGTGCTCTGACTGAGCAAGCCATCTCTCCAATAAGGGGTTAATATCAGAAGTATATAAGGAACTAACTCAAGAGCAAAAAAGGCCCCAGAAAACAACACCTTTGGCCACTTTTAATTGGATTGGTTTTGTTTTTTGGTTTTTGGTTTTTTTTTTGTTTTCTGGGGGCTTTTTTGCTCTTGATTTAGTTCCTTATATACTTCTGGTATTAACCCCTTATTGGATAGATGGTTTGCAAATATTTTTTCCCATTCTGTGGTGTGCCTTTTTACTTTGCTGATTGTTTCTTCTTTTTAGTTTGACATAGTCCCACTTGTTTATTTTTATTTTTGTTGTCTTTGTTTTTGGTGTCACATCCAAAAATATCTTTGCCAAGGCCAATGTCAAGGAATTTTTTTTCTGTGTTATCTTCTGGTAGTTTGACAGTTTCGGGTGTTACATTTAAGTCTTTAGTACATTTCAGGTTAATTTTTGTGAGTGGTATAAGATAGGGGTGCACTTTGATTCTCCTGCATGTGGTTATCCAGTTGTCCTAACACTGTTCATCGTAGAGACTACCTTCCCCCATTGTCGTACCTCTCATCAAATATTAGTTGACCATATTTGTATGTATGGGTTTATTTCTGGGCTCTCAGTTCTGTTCCATTGTCTTTTTTTTTAAATGCCAGTACTATACTGTTTTGATTATTACAGCTCTGTAATATAGTTTGAAATCAGGAGCCATGGTATCTCCAGCTTTATTATTCTTTCTCAGGATTGCTTTGGCTATGCAGGGTTTTTTTATAGTTCCATATGGATTTTAGGATTGTTTCTCCTATTTCTGTGAAATCTATACATGGCTTTGGGTACTATGGACATTTTAATATCAGTTCTTCGAATCCATGAACATGGGATACCTTTCCATATATCTGTAGCTTCTTTAATTTCTCTCATCAGTGTCATAATTTTCAGGGTACAGATCTTTCCTCTCCTTGGTTAAATTTATTCCTGAGTTTCTTGTTTTCTTATTTGTTGATGTGGTCAGGCCTTCTCTGTAAATCCAGAGATGCCTTTGGGAGCCTTCTGACATGTGCACATCCCTGTCACTATACCAAAGGCCCCAGCCTGGTGCATGTTGTATGATCTCATGTCTACTTTTATGGCTTCTCTGTCTTTGTCTTCCCTTACTGTATTAGTTGTTGTCAGTCCTCCTGCTCCTTGTGGACCTTTGACAAAAATATTGATATTTACCCCAAACGGGAGTTCGTCAGAGGTCCAGAGAGGCTCTCTGCTTGGGTGTATATGCAGTGTATGGACTTGAAATGGACTTGAAATAGCCATTTCTGATTGCTTAGAGGCACCTTTTGTTACTCTGTGAGCTTTGGCTGCTAGAAAATGGCTGCTGTGTGTTTCATGCTGTACAGGGACTCATTTACCAGTGCCATTTTTGGCAGAGTCCCTGAAGTAGCTGAGTGGCCCTTGCCAGCCAGGGAGGGCCTCCTGCATCTCTTGCTCTGCTAGGCTGCAGGGCTGCTCTGGAGCACATGCCACCTCTGTCTGGGGCATTTCCAAACCTGTGTCTGAGCCCCAAGGGTCAGCCTCGGCCACACTGACTTCGAAGTCTGCTGTCCTGGAAGATGTAAGGATGTGTTCCCAAAGGTGTGACGGGCATCCTGGCCTGCTATTGCCCTGAGCATGGTGGCAGAGCCACGGCTGCCCTGCCATGCTGGCCTTCCTGCTCCCCTTTTTCCCCATGTCCTTTCCCACCACACCTGCTTTCTTCCCAGCATCCGACCCTTCCCTTCCCCACCTGCTGCTCATAAAATAAACCATTCTTCTTGCCGCCTGCCTTGGCCCCAGCAGCCCGATGCCTGTGTAGGCAGTTAGGAGAGGGTTTTAGAGGATTCTAGAAAGAAGGGAGACTGTAAGTTCCCTGAGGGCAGGAAGAACCCCTCTCATTCCTCTCTGCAGTCCCTGTGGTCACTGTGAGGGTGAGTGCTGGTTACTTTGTGGTCACCCAGAATCAGGCACACACAGAGGCTGAGAAAGAGAATGCCCCCATGGCTGAGGAAAACCTTGGTAACCCGAGGGTGCTGAGCTGTGGGGTCTTCCTGGGCAAGCTGAGCAGAACCCGGAGCCTCCCACGATGCAGGCAGGCAGTGGGGAAAGGCACCGTTTTGACTGGCTCTGTGGCTGCTGGGCTGGGGGCACTGGCCAGCTCTGGCCTCCTCGGTGAAGTTAACAACATCTCCAGGCCTCAGCTTCATCATCTCGAAAATGGGATAATGCCCTTCTTACGGGTGATTTCCAGGACCGGATGAAGGAACAAGAAATCTGGCATCCGTTGCCTGTCATCGTGGGACTCCCGATTGATCTTGGAGGAGAACTGTTGGGGGGCGGGGGTGGCCCTATGGCCTCCTTGTGGGTAAGGAGACAAGGACTTCAGAGAAGGCCGACCACTTAAAGAGAATTTATTCGTTGTGAGACTGGAATGAAATGGGGTATAACGTGGAGGCTCCCGCACAGTGCCCAGCTCATAGTCCGCTCTCTGTTTGTTAAGTGTGTGGGCCTTTCCTAATGGCCATGCTTCGTCAGTGCCTCATCCTATGAACCCAGCCCTGTGGAATGGCTGCATAAGGTCACCAGCGGTCAGCTCAGTTTGGGCCACCGAAGATACCCAGGCAGCCAGAAATGTCCCCTGTTGCCAGGCACATTTTGAGGAGGCGTTTCCTGCTAATTGACTGTGGCATTGGGGGATGCTGGTGTGGGAAGGACCAAGTGATTGTATGGGCTGTTTACTGAGAGCTGAGAAGTTCAGAAAGCTGTGTTCAAGGCCGGAGAGACTCTTCAGTGGGTACCCCTGAATTCTAAGAGGGCCTCTCCCCTGTCCTGTGGGGACTGGGAACTTTTCCCTTTCCTCAAGTGTGTACAGCAGCCTCCTCATCGGTAATCATGCCATCTTAGTCCTCATTTACTGCCCCCTGCCACAATGCAGGGTACTGTGCTAGGTGCTTCAGACATACTCTGTCATCCTTACCATGGTCCTGCAAGGAGGCACTTATGTACCCACTTCACAAATGAGGCAACTGAGGCTCTGACAGGCTTGTCCTGGGCCATTTAGGGTGACAGAGCTGAGATTCAAGCCCACACTGGCCGTCCGGCCAGAACCCACATGCACTGTGCTTTTGAGTAGTTAAGGCCTGGGTACCTCATTTTTCCAAACAGGGGAAGACCAAGCAGGGTTGGGAGTGAACATGGACCTTGAAGCTGACTGGCAGCGGAGGCCCACGAACCATTTATTAAGAGTAGAAAATTCTTAATCACTGCCAATTGTAGTTGCCGAGGCAGGGTTGTGTGGGGCGTGTATGTGTGTGTGCGTGTGTGTGTTCACTTGCTTCCTCACACACAAGGGCCAATAATTCACGCGGCAATTCACGCTGTCACAGCAGCCCTCTCTGTGACAGAGCCTGAGTCCCATTGGCTAATATCTCACACCCAGAAGCCCGGAGAGAGGAGTTAAAATGCTAATTTTCAGGGACCGCTCAGTCATTTTGATCTCATTAAAACACCAGCATCCTTCTCATGCAAAACTGGTGCTTCAATTACCAACTAATTGCCTGATTATTGTGCAGGGACAGGCGACTTTAGTCAGCAAGGGACGCCCGAATTAGAGTGGAGGGAGGCAGTGCCATCCCGGTGTGACTCTGGAGGAGATGATGCGGCTGTGCAGGAGAAGCAAAGGCTGGGGTCGGGGTGGAAACTGAGCTGCCACTGCGGTGACCCTCCTTTCCTCTCCACCCGCCTCAGGTGCTAGAGACGTGTGTGAAGAACTGTGGCCACCGCTTCCACATTCTCGTGGCCAACCGGGATTTCATCGACAGTGTCCTGGTCAAAATCATCTCTCCTAAGAACAACCCTCCCACCATTGTGCAGGACAAGGTGCTCGCTCTGATCCAGGTAGGCGAGCTCCCCTTGTCCGGTTGGCTGGGACCCGGTGAGGTGGGGCCCCTGGGTAGTGGGTCCTCGTGCTTTTCCATCACTTGGAGGAAAGAAGGGAGGCCCTCTTGGGTTTAAAGACCTGTTGCAAAATGCTTATGTTTCTGTTCTCATGCCACTGGAATAAAACCCTGAGGGGTAGCTGTCAAGCTGGTTGACAAAGCCTTCACTGGTTTTCTGGGTGCCTGGCTCTCTGTTGCCCACCCCCAGGGGCAGGTCGGGGGCCCTGATAGGCCTCCGAGCCATCGGGGACAACGTGGAGCAGGGAGGGCCATACTAGAGCTAAATGCAGGGCTGGCAGGGTACTGGTCGGGAACAGCTCTGCGACAGGCAGGGTGAGATCCAGGGAGACGGTGTTACAGAGTGATTCACTGAGGAGGTGACATTTCTGCTGGACCCTGCAGGACGTGGCGAGCTTGGCGGAAAGGGCAGAGTGTGAGAAGTAGTGCGGGCAGAGGTCTAGCACGTGCGTCGAAGACAGCAGTTGACATGGGTGGGCTGTATTCAGTATGAGTGGATCTGTAACAGAGTACCCTAGAACTTAGGGGTTTAACACAGCACCTGCTTATTACTTCCTCGTTTCCGTGGGTCAGGAATTCGGGAGCAGCGTAGGTGAGTGATTGTGGCTCTCCGGAGGTTGTGGTCAAGACTTCAGCCAGGATTGCCTCCTCTGCGAGCTCGAGGGGCTAGAGGAGCCACGTCCAAGGTGGCTCACCGCAGGCTGCTGGTGGGAGGCCCCAGCTCTTCGCTGGCTGTTGGTAGGAGGCCTGCGTTTCTTGCTGTGTGGACTTTTTGAGTGTCCTCATAACATGGCAGCAGGTTTTCCCTGGAACAAGGGATCCAAGAGAACTGGAAGGAAGCTGCGGTGTCTCTTGGGACCGACTCTCCGGAGTCGCGCACTGTCTTTTCTGTCATATTCCATTTGTTAGAAGGGAGTCACCAGGTCCAGCCTTGAGAGTCAAGGAATGAAGCTGCATGTCTGAAAGAGAAGGGATGCTTTAAAGCCGTCACGTGGCTCATAGAGTATGATGAAGAATGTCTGGGGCCAGGAGACGAGGCTGGAAGGATGGCCAGGGGCTCATGGGCCATGCAGGGCGGCAGCTGGTGCTCTGTCCTGTGGGCAGTGGGGAGCCACTGCACTTGTCTGAGCTGAGTACACACGGATGGGTCTGGGTTTTAGACTGAGCCCCCCGGTGACAGGGTGCAAGCACATTTGTCAACAAGCATGTTAGTGCTCTGGTGGAGGACAAATAAGGGTCTGCAGGAGCCAAAACGATGGGAGGTGGGGAGGGTGATGGCCTGGGCTGGGCGGGAGGCACTGTGATCCGGGGTGGACGTAGGGGGCATTCAAGGTGGTGGCGGCACCTGAGCCTGGACAGGAACGTAGGACCCCGGCCGAGGTTCTCTACTGCGTCCTCTGCCTACAAGTCCTGTCCATCCTTCAGGTGGCCCCCGGAGGCCTTCCCACTCCTAGGTTTGCAGTGTTCCCTCTCCGCTATCACCCTCTTTTGTGGTCTTCTCTACTTCTGGGCTAACTTCTCTCTCATCTGCCTGGCTCTGAGCTCCCCAAGAGCCCATGGGCATTATATCCCCGGGGTCTAGAGCAGTTGATTGTGTAGAGTAGGTGTTCGATAAGTTTTTCCTAACAAATGGGTGACTGTGGTTTGCCGAGGCTCTAAGGAAGGGGAGGAGTGGGTGACAGCAGAGCCACCTCCTTTTTAGGTGGTCCCTGTGTCTTCATTCTGCTCACCTGGCTGGCATGTCTCCATGTGTCTCCTTCCCTCCTCCCTCTTTCACATGCTCGCACACTCAGGTGCAAACCACCTCAACCCCTCCCCTCCCCACCCCACTTCTGCCCTCGACTCCCCCATTCTGGGACTTTCCCAGTACACTGCTTTGTCCCAACACCCCCAGCATTTGATGTCAGGCCCGTAAATAGTGGCTTTTTGCTCACAACGGAGGGGGCACCCCAGCCTGAACCCCTTGTGCCCACTGGGCCTGGCCACCCCTGACAGACACAGCCATGGCCGGGCTTGTGATCCGCATCACGCTGTTGACGAGGGCTCTGGGACGCCTCATGAACTGGCCGTGGCTGCCCCTGGGGGCGCCGGCCCAGCTTTCCCATCAGGATCTCAGCCTCCTCCCAGCACTGCTTCTTCCAGCTGTGTAACCTCAGCAGCTATTTGAACCTTTCTGGGCTGCTACCTCCTTATCTGCAGAATTCGGGCCTGTGTCCCCGCCTCCCTACTCCCAGTCCAGGGTCTGAGATCAGCCCGCAGGGGCCCAGCGGCCGGCGCCTGTGTTGTGAGGGCTCCCCCTGCCGGCTCGGCGGTGGCATGAGCGCCCACCCATGGGGGTGGGAGTAGGATGGGCCCCTAAGGGCCTCATGGGCTCGACAACCAGGATGCTCTGTACGGTCCCGCTGGGAGAATACCAAGGGCTTTGGATCAGGGTACTCTCTGATGGGCTTGCTTACCTGCCTGGGAGGGTTCTTCCTCTCCGTGTTTTGAACTTACCTGAGGAGCTTTTGTCTGAAAGCGGACAGCATTCAGAGCTGGCGGCTAGCTTGGCTTCTGGACAAAAGAAGCTTGGGGTGGACAAAAGAACAAACGGGGTTTTCAGCCTTTTCTTTTCTTTTTATCGAATTCTGTATGTGAGCAGGAGGTCACACATTAAACTACCTCGTACGGCTTGGTAAGTTTTTACAGACTGAACATACTCAGGTAAACCAGCCCCGGTATCATGACGCAGAATATGACCCACACCCAAAGAGCCCCAGCTGCCTGGGAGGACCCCCTCGCCTCACAGCCTGGATGGAGTGCTCGTGTCCTTGAACTTCATGTGTGTGGCCTCTGCAGCAGCCCTCTGTTAGGTCCGCGTGTCTGACTGCGCCTTGTTTGCGGGTCTCACCTTGTCACTGGGAATGACCGTTGGCCTTCTGTTCCCGTTGCTCACATCGCTGGGCCAAGTCCCTTTGGGTGAATGCACCCCGCACTGTGTCGCCTTCCCACGGATGGTGGGCATGTGGTGTTCCCAGTTTGGGGCCGCTATGAAAAATGCTGCTATTAACAGCCTGCAGGTGTCTTTGGGTAGGCATGTGGGTCTGTTTATATCAGGCCTGTATTAAGTCGAATATGTGAAACTGCCATCTTTGTTGGTCAAAAATAGGAAAAAACGAGTGATTCCTTAAGGGTCAGCCTCACAGCTGGGAGCAGAATTGCGGGGGGATGTGGGATGGCCACGCTCCAGGACTTATGCTGGCAGGCCCTGCTGCTCCTTCCCGCCGGCCCTGGAGCGCTGTAGTTGGGCAACTGTTCTCATCAGCGCATCCTCGACAAAGCCCGACTGATGAGTGTGTGGACGTATGGCATGTTGTCAACCTGTTCTTAACTCCTTGGAGAAAGAAGATGACTTTATGTGCCTGTCGAATAAACTTGTAAGAACTGGGCAGTGTGCCCTGAGAGTCTGATGTTCCCCCGGGAAGGGCAGATGATGCTCCCACCATGGCACAGGGTGGGGGGTGGGGGCACCGGATCCCCGGCCTTCCTGCCAGCCGGAGAGGAGGCAGCAGGCCATCTCGGAAATGCAGCGAGACTGAAAAGAGGAGCGGTCAGGTGTGTGGGTGCCAGAGCCACGACAGTTTCTTTCCTCGCCATCCTTGCCATCCGGTGTTTCCTGGTGCTCTTTGGAGCCCAGCTGCCTGGAGTAGAAGTGGGCCTGTCCCAGCCCTGCCCCTGGGAGCCAGTGGTTTTATGGGGAGACAGAGGCTTGCAGATGAAAGAGGGCCAGGGCCTACCCAGGGAGGACTTGAGCTGGCTTTGGGATATTTGAAGGGCAGCCCTAAACTCTGAACGTATTAGTGCTTGAAAAGCTTTTAAGGCCAGGGGGTTAGATGGAGAAGTGCTCCCCACCCCCAGGAAGCATGCATGGAGCTCCCAGGTGGAGCTGGGACCTGCGGCTCTGATGACCAGGAATCAGCCTGAGCCCATTGTCCCTCTGATCACTCCCCTACCGTGGAAGCAGGGAGGGGGCCTCTCTCCAAACTAGCTTTTCTTTCTTTCTTTCTTTCTTTCTTTTTTTTTTTTTTTTTTAAGATCTTATTTATTTGACAGCTCTGAGAGAGCAGGGGAACAACAGGCAGAGGGAGAGGGAGAAGCGGACTCCCCACCGAGCAGGGAGCCCGAGGCGGGTTTCAATCCCAGGACCCTGGGATCATGACCTGAGGCAAAGGCAGATGCTTAACTGACTGAGCCACCCAGGAGCCCCTCCAAAGCAGCTTTTTAATAGTCTCCTGGTGCCTGTAGGGAGACGGGTGCTCGTCCTCGCATGTTCTCCTGGCTTCCAGCCCACCATGCCTTCTGATTCCTTTCCTGGGATGCTGATCGCAGGCATTGTCAGCCTGAGATTGGACACATGGGGCCATTGCCGCTGGCACACGTTTGCTGTCAGCAGCCCTCTAGGGGGATTTTTCAAGAGAATCAGTGGATGCCTATTCCTTGTTCCCACATTCTGTCCCTCCTCTCATTGAGGGCATCTGTGTCCTCTCGCTGTCCTCTAGCCATCTGTGGCCACCCCAGGCCCCCCAAAAGAGACACCCCTCAGGCTTGTGTGCACCAGAGGCCCTGCCCTTCAGAACACCCGGGGAAGACTGCCCTCCATCTCCCCCAGCCCAAGCCCAGCGTGTAAGCTGTGAGACAGGGCAGTGGGAAGTGTTCACCTGACTCAGGTGTGTGGGCCCAGTGGGCTTCCCCGCTGTAGGAGTTTGCCCTTTGGGAGGGGAGCTGGTCCCCCTGGCAGCAAGAGAGGAGGGACGTCAAGGGCATGGCAGCCTGGTGAGCAGCTTTGCCGACTTCTTTGCTCCCAGCCTTTGAACTGCCTGCCACTTTCAGCCCTGGCTCCGTGTCTCACCTGGTCCCCGGCTGGCCTTTGGCTGCGTGCCTTTCTCTGTCTTCGTGTGAAGTCCCATTTGTTCAGAAGACAAGAAGGACACTTGTGCCCTGTGCCATCCCCCAGCCTTTCCCTTGCAGCTGCTTTCAGGAACAGAAATGATACCATCCTGGTAGGGTAACCTCATGGCCGTGCCTCTCCTGCCTCCCTTCCCCTCCCCACTGCCCCTTTAGCCTGCCTCCCCACCCCCTGCCTCCTAGCAGTCGAATCTAAAAATACCCTCTTTCCACAGCAGGTTTTTCTTTCCGCTGAAGAAAGTGAGCTGGTGGGGGCGGGGGGGAGGAGGAGCTGGAAGTGTTGTGTTCTTGGAAGGTGTCGGAAACGTGGCGGCCTAGCTTTTGGCCCCCTTCCACGTGGACTCTGCAGTTCTCTGGAGACCCTGTCAATGGGACTAGGCAGTCTGGTTCAGAAGCAGAAGCAGAACATGGCAGAAGCCAAAGAACAGAACCCACAGTCTAAATCAGCAGTTGTTCATTAATCTGAGATTGGATGATATAAAACTTTGTCAAAACTTGTGGGATACAGAGACAACGACAGTACAGTTTATGTTCGTATAAGGCCCCAGTCTGGCGTTTGGTGTGCAGTCCCAAGGAGTAAAGCAAAAAAAACATGAAAATGTTTTTTTCTCTCCCTTTTCGACCTCCTCTGGGCCTTTGAGCCCCCAGCACTGTAGACAGAAGCCAGAAAAGTACTTTGCTTTCCTAGAGGGCAGCTTGCTGGGACCAGCCTTGTGGCTCCTTGGCTTTAGGTTGGGGACCTGGAATGAACCAGACTTCCTGAGCTTTGCCCCCTTTCCTAGATTCTCACATCTCAGCTGGGTCAGCCGTCCAGAGGGGCTCCTGCTTTCTTTGTCAGGGTCGCCTCAGTCTGTGGACAACCTAACTGGCCGTCGTCCCGTGTTCTCCCAAGTAGAACAATAAGGATGCTTAGTAACCATGAGATCTGAAGTCAGTCGAACTTGACAAACGATGGCTGACTGCCTTCTCTGAGCAAGGGTGAGACTGGCTGTGTGCCTTCACAGGTATGACCTCGTGGGGAGGAAAGATAGGAGCACAGGCATTTGGCCATTGTGCCAGGAAGATGCCAGAGGCCCGGCGTCTCTGGATGGATCCCAGTTCTGCGTTTCCACTTATGACTGTTCCCTTAAAGGTGCCCCCCACCCTGTTCCCCACTGACATCAGAATCTTGTTCGGTAGAAAACGCTGCCACGAACATGTGCTCTGTGAGCAGCCGGCTCACCCCAAGCTGCACAGGGTCCCCTGCAGGGGTTCGAATAGTAGCAGGCAGGAAGGGAGCAGATGAGCCATGGCTGCTTGGCTACAGGTAACGGGTGCCAGTTCCAGCTTGCCTAGACAAAGAGGACAGTTTGTCATGACCAGGCAGGTGTTCCCAGAATGCTGGGGTGTGACTAGACCTGGGGAAGGGACAAGAAGGGATCAGGGAAACCCTCCAAATCCTCTCTTGGCTGCACCTTCCAACACATAGGCTGTCTCTGCTCCCTGGTCCCCAGTGGGCACGTGGCTGCCTCCCAGGGCCCCGCATCTATAGAGGACAGTGTCATGTACCCAAGGAGAGCAGCCCAGCTCTCTCTAAGCTCAGGGTCAAGCTCCTGGGAGGAGGGGAAGCTGACTGGCCTGACTTGGGATGTGTGTTTCCCTGCTGGTGGCACAGAAAACCAGAGAAGGGGGGCTCATTGGCTCGCTGTCAGGCCAGGTGCCCCGAGAAGTAGCCCCTGCCTGGAGAACACAGTGATGGTTCTTTAATTTCCATTCTTCCTATCTCCGATCTGGCTGACATGGAGGGCAAGATGAATGAAAAGTGGTCCCCTGGAGCTGTTTGTCCTTCCTTAGAAATAGAGGCAGGAAGAGGCCCTAGGAAGAACTGTCATGCTTCTTTCTCCCCAGCCTCCCCCAGCAGGCTGTAAACCCAGTCTTAGACCCTAAATGAACATGCTAGCTGCATTTTGAAGCAAGCCTCCCGGGACTCAGCTGGATTTTGAATCCGGTGGTGGCAGCCAAAGCAGCTGGTGGAGAACGGGGCTCTGGGGCACTCCCTAGGGGGACAGGCCTTGGTGCTGTTGCTCTCCAGCTGGCGCTCCAGACGGGCCTCTGCAGGCACCTTGGGCCCTGCTCAGCCTCCAGAAGGAAGTGTTGGCCAAGAGGGGCCGTCCTTCAGCGGGCATTAAATCCCCGAGTGCGCAGATCAAGTACGTGGATCAAGGAAGCCCAGCTGACAGTAATGTTTGTGGCGAGACACATCTGTCAGAGTGAGCGAGGCTGTTTGGAAACTGACCTTTTAACTTCAAACGGGTCTGTTGGTTAGAGATAGAGTTTCTGTGGCTGCCTCAGGATTGGTTGGAATGCATCGCTAGAGCCGGGGAGGCACTTAAAGGCTTGTGACAGCAGCAGAATTGGCAACAGAACCGTGGGCGCGAGACACTGCCGCCTCCTCTGGGTATGTATTTGGTGGGTGACAGGACGGAGCTGAACTTCATTGCGGGGAGCCTTTTGGAGATCGGTCTTTCTTTCCTTTGATAGATTCTGTAACTTTCAAAGAACAAAATATTTAAAAATCGCTTAGGAGTTTCGCCAATTGATGAAAAGTGACAGTCTATTGAAATATGTGTTCTTTCCCTCTCTGCGGGGTGTTTTCATCGAAGGGACTCCAGTGGCCGTGCTTTGCGGTGGCTTTGGCCACGTGGGCAGGTGTGCAGTGACGCTGTGGGCGGCGCGGGCTCTCTCACCCCTGGGCCACCATCACATCGCCTCTCCTGCTGGGCTAGGCGGTCTCCGCTTTTGCACGCTCCAATCCACGGAGGAAACCCCACGTTAGCCTTGATTTCCCGTCACACATCAGTTTTGCCTTTCCTCTCTGCCCATCTGCCTCTGGCTCCCGCCTGCACCTGAGAGCTCTGCAGAGCTGAGCCACGGCACTGCGGTCCCCCCACGGCATCCCATGGGCCCAGCAGCGGGGCCGTGTCTTCATGCCCTTCCCCTCAGCACCACCAGGAATTGATTTCCTGGCGATTAGGGAAATGCCTCTGTTTTAGGATACGCCACCGTGCTTAGGTGTTATTTCCCTGCATCTTCTCCAAGGAAATACTGCATGCTGAATTAAGTTTTGTGTTTTTGTTCACGCTCAACAGCACCATTAAAAAAACCCCTATTTCTGGGGCGCCTGGGTGGCTCAGTGGGTTAAAGCCTCTGCCTTCGGCTCAGGTCATGATCCCAGGGTCCTGGGATCGAGCCCCACATTGGGCTCTCTGCTCAGCCGGGAGCCTGCTTCCTCCTCTCTCTCTGTCTGCCTCTCTGCCTACATGTGATCTCTGTCTGTCAAATAAATAAATAAAATCTTTAAAAAACAAAACAAAACAAAACAAAAACCCTATTTCGCCCGCCGCATCATGGCAGCACTGGGCGTGGGGGGCATGGGGGGGACAGGAACAGAGTGGGTTTGGGCAAAGAACATGGGCCTCTGCGAGGGCACATGGCCTGCCGTTGGTGAGAAATCCTTGCTAACAGGCCCCCTCTTTCCTCCCAGGCGTGGGCTGATGCCTTCCGAAGCAGCCCTGACCTCACCGGCGTGGTGCATATATATGAGGAACTGAAAAGGAAAGGGGTCGAGTTTCCCATGGCAGACTTGGACGCTCTGTCTCCCATCCACACACCACAGCGGGTAAGCTTCCAGCTGGCATGTTCTAGAAAGACCTACTGCAGAATGGGCCAGCCACCGCCACTGCCCTTCTGCTGCTCCCTTTGAATTATTTAGCTTGTCATCAAGCTTTCTTAAAGCTTGAGGGCATTTCTTTTTAATAACAAGGGGAATGCGGGAGTGAGACAGCTGGTTGACTGGTGATTAAGTGGCAGTGGTGATCCCCCCCTGTTTATATCTGACTGTGGAAGGATATAATAGAGGGATCAGTTCCGACATTTTTGTGCAAATGGCCTCTTGGGCGGAGCCATCCGTCTCATGAGGGCCACTAGTACCTACTTTGCAGAGGCCCCAGGAGTCCAGTGTGGGGATGCCGGCATCTTCCTGGGAGAGCACCGAGACACCTCAGTGTTGGCGGTGCAGAGGAGCTGATGGTGTCACTGATCGTGGGACAAAGGGCAGCTTCTGGTTTTTTCCGACTGTACAGGTCAAATAGATCGAAATTTTATTTTGAGCTACTAGTGTTCAGCATCCATGCGGACATCCTTGGATTCTGCCAGCCTTGGGATGCAAAGCCCAGGGAAGGCCCATTTAGGGGCCTGCCATGAAGCTCTTGCAATGTGGGGCAGCTCTGTGCTTCTGAATGGAAACCACGCCGGTGATGGACGCCGTTCATCCCGGGAAGCTAGTACCTCTGCTGGCTGGGAATCAGCCTCTGGCCCCACGGGACAGCCAGGAAGCTCCAGGATGTGGGAGAGGCACCTTGACCCAGCACGCTCTGCCTTGTTGGCTCCATCTGCCCGTCTCTGAAATGGGGGCAAGGAGTCCAGAGCATCTCTCCAGGTCCCTCGCATGGATCACAGTTAACGTTTAAGAGGCTATCTGAGATACTGAAAGGGAAAGCCTAAGAAATTGTACTTTGCAGAGCATTATTCTCATTATGATCCCTCCAAACCACTTGCTGTGCTTTGTGGGATAAACGTAACCCGTTTTATTCTTCTTATAACGACACAGAGCAGTATTGTTGTGCCTATAATTACAAAGAACATTCGGTAAATTGCATAATTACTATTTATATTAGTCTCCTCCGTAAAGGCCAGAATACCATCTTCGGCTACCAAATAGGGATTCATGATTAGCAAAACTTTGCAGCAGGCCCCCTCCACGCACATTCTGAGGTGGTCCTAATAAGGGGAACCTTGACCAAAGCTCTCACAGAGCACCCTCTTTCCGAGTGACTTTGGTTGCCTGTGAGGTAAGTAGAGGGAGGAGCCGTCAGCGGTCAGCAGGCTGCTTCAGGGCTGGAGAGACTGGGAGCAGAGCGGGCAGAGGAATGCCTCCAGCCTCGCAGGTCAGCAGCAGAGCTGGGCCCCCCGCCCGCCTGCCAGCTGCCGTGGCGGGAAGGGCTGCCCTGGGGTGGGGTAGGTGCCAGGCCTGGCCACACAGGCAGCCCAAGTGAACAGAGGACTTTGTTGTTGCCGTGCCAGAGCGTCCCCGAAGTGGATCCAGCCGCAACCATGCCCAGGTCCCAGTCGCAGCAGAGGATGAGTGGCAGCTCCTATTCCTCGTCTCCTGCTCCCTACTCCGCTCCGCAGGCCCCGGCTCTGAGTGTGACTGGCCCCATCACGGCCAATTCAGAACAGGTACTCAAAGACTTCCAGGCCACAGGCAGGGTGGCCGACTGTCCTTGTTCACCTCTTGGGGACATATACGGAAGCCTTCGCTGACCGGGCACCATGCTAGGTGTTGGCTGCCCACAGACGGCAGGGCCCAGATCCTCTCCCGAGGGTTCGCCTTGTCATGGGGAGACGGGGTGCAGACCAGGGGAGCGGGAGCCAGGAGCTGAGCCCAGAGCTGATGCTGCCGAGGCTCTTGAAGCAGGAGGGGGGCCTTGTCTGACAAGGTGCGGGACCAGAGGCACGGAGGAGCGGGGCATTCACGGGAACAGCAGGTGGAGGGTTTGGAGGATCAGTTCAGGATCCACTGCGACCCAGTGGGGCTGTGAACAGCTGTGTGGGTCATGCAGAGAGGTCTGGATTGATCTCGCAAGCAACGTCAGCTGTCAGAGGCCGGGGACGGGATCTGCAAGGTGCCGTGCAGGCGGAGGCCAGGATGAGGGAGGCCCTTAGGAAGCGCCCTTCCTGCCTTTATTCCAAACACTGCCCACCTTCCCTGAGTTACTTCCTGAGAGGCCAATGCCCTTTTAACCCTAAACTGGATTTTTTTTAAATGAGTTGCAGGGACTGGTACTTAAATGAATCTCTAAAATGTCCATTAGTGTAAAAAATTTGAGAATTGATCAGACTTGGGGAAAACAAAAAAAAATCCTGTTCCAGTGTTTACATTTTTTAAGTCCTTATTTAATATTTGTGACAGCATCATCATGATGGAAACTCATTTAAACAGAGGGGTCAGGAGATGAGGTGTGGTTACCCAAAGTGTTGGGCCAGGGCCGCTCATGTTTTCATTCTCTGCTGGCCCTGAGGAGGCCAGCTGGAGGTCAGACAGGCCTGGGTTTAAGTCTCCGCTCTGCCATTTGCTATGAGGCTTCTGTTGGCTCATTTAACCCAACCAGGTCAGTAGAACAGGGCGGTAGTCCATCTGTTGGACCCTGTAGAGCCATTGTGGGCTTGACAGGCAGCAGGAGAGGCCTCGTGGTCATCACCCACGTGCTGTGTGCACTCCTAAGGAGAGGAAGTCGAAACCCACAGCTGAAACACAGGCTGTATGATAACCGTGGGCTTCATTTGCTCTCTTCTGCCCTTTCTCTTGACACAAAATGGCCACGACCTGTCCCCAGAAGGGAAGCCCTGGGGAAGAGGGTCTCTGGTGGCTGTGGGCTCTGCTTCCAGCAGCAGAACTGGGCCTGTTTCTGCTCAAAGCAGTCTGATACATTTGGAGTTGGACGGGCCCCCAGAGACCTTCCACTGGTTCCTTGTCAGTGCTGTGTGAGCTTGGGAAGAGCCCTCGCATGGCGGCCAGAACGGTCTGGAATGGGTGAGAAGGCATGCCTCCTGCCCCTGGGGGAAATGGAAGCGGAGCCGGCAGGAACCCATCCTGGCCTAGAGGGACCCCAGGGGCTTCTGAGCCCATGTGGTGTCTGTTGCATTCCTGAGCTTCCAGGGCCAGAAACCTCTTGTGGCTAAGACGTGGGAGGAGTTTATCTACCAGGCAGAGCCAGAGGGGAGAGGAGCCTCTCAGGACCTGGCCCAGTGCCCTCATTGACCACTTGTCCATCTGTCCATCCAGTATACATGTACTGAGGGCTCCTGTCCCTTTCCCTGTGCTAAGACTACTGACCTCCACTCATTAGAGTCCCTGCCCCCAGGAGATGGGGGGCAGGGCGGGGCCTGTGGTAGGAGGGGGCTGGTTGGTTCTGCCTCAGGGAGGGGGACAGCAGAGAGTCCGTAAAGGCTTCAGGGAGGACAGAAGGTGTCATTTGAGCTAGGTCAAAGTGCAGTTGGGATCCGTAGTAAAATCCTGCGCTCTGGTTATTGTAGTAGAAAAGGGGCTGGATGCGTACCAGCACTGCGCGGGGTCTTCACTTCCGTCGTGGGCAGTGCTTTCCCCCTCTCCACAGGTAAGGAGACGGAGGCTCAGGCAGGTTCAGGTCTGTCCCTTAGGTGTCCCTACTGCAGGAAATATGGCCGAGGCCCAGGCTCCGGAGAGCTCTGTTGGATGGGCAGGTAGGGAGCTGGGGCGGGAGGGGGTCTCCCCGGAGTCTTCTCTTGGTCCGACTCCCTCGTTCTTGCCACACCAGAAAAGTGCAGCTGACACCAGCCGGCCCCTCGGGGGACCAAGGTGCTTCGATTGGAAACCCCTGGGGCCAGTGTCCGTAGCAATGAGGGCCCTTGGGGATCATCGATCACACGTTCCACCACTTTCACTCGAAAGAGTAGGGACAGAGGCCTGAGAGATGAACTCCCCACTCAAGCTTCTGCGGCGGGAGGGCCGAGCTGCTCACCAGCTCCGTCCACACCACATGCAGAGCTCTCTTCCATCCGAGTCATCTGTGACAAGCTCTCGGTAACCAGGGCCCTTGTGGGGTGGCCTCGCTGCCCCATTCACGTCTCTCCCTCACCCTCACGCACAGACCAGAGTGAGCCAAGAAGCCTTCGAATGCCGAGCACATTCAGAGGTGTGACCTAGATGCCACAGTGAAGGGGACTGTCACTGGACAGGTGCAGCTTGACTGACCTATGCTTCCTGCTTTCCTCCCCACTCCCACCCCCCCGGCCCAACAGATTGCCAGGCTTCGGAGTGAACTGGACGTCGTTCGAGGCAACACAAAAGTCATGTCGGAGATGCTAACAGAAATGGTCCCCGGGCAGGAGGACTCATCCGATCTGGAATTGCTACAGGTGAGAGGGGGTATGTCCTTGTCTTGTGGAAGCTCTGGACCTGGGGACCCAGCCATGAGGCTGGAGCGGGGCCGAGGGGGGACTGTTGTGGGAAGGGACCGAGTCCCTGTAGGCTTGCCCTCAGCCTCATGCTTCCTTTCTGGGACCGGTCAGAAGCCAGGACCAGGCTCTCTTTTTTATTTTCCTTTATGACATTTTTTTTCCTGACTCTAAAATGCCGATCACAGAATACATGCCCACCAAAAGATAAAGGACATACAAAGCAGGAAATACTCATTTTCTTTGATTCCAGAACCCACAAAAAACCACTGTCCATGTTTTGATGCAAAAAGTCTTTCCGATTTTTTTTCCATGTTAGTTTTCGTCTCAGACGTCATTGACATCCTATTGTGAGGGCAATGTTGTGTGTCGCTTCCCTCCCTCAGCATTACGTGGTGAGCACTTGTGACAGGACTTCCTCAACCTTCCCCACGTGCAGGAGCCCTTCTAGCCACACTTTGCCCCCGAGACAGTCCTGAGACCGAGAGGAGGTGGAGGCTTCTTTTCTTCTCCTGAATACTGAGGAGTCCAGGCCGGGGTTGGGCACCTGATGGTTCTTGGGCATTTGCTGCTAACTGGCCTCCCCGCCCCCTAGGCACCGTGCAGATCTGGGGGTGCGGCAGGAAGGGGTCTAGGAGCAGGGCTGGCCTCCAGGGCCGCCCTCAGACTAGTGTCAGGGATCGTGGTAATCCAGAACAAGAACTAGCAACCGATCTCCACCGCCGCCGTCTCTGATGACTCTGGCATTTGTAGGAGGTGGCAGCAGCGCTGCCCTTAGAAGCAGTGACCTTCTGGAGGGGTGGAGAAGAGATGCTTTAAGCTGCAAATGCCAGATCTTTTCAGCGGGAGGCAAGATGCTTGAGTAAACAGGTCAGGAGCCAGTCTGGCTTGGCGAGCTGGCAGGAGCGCCTCACGACGTGCCTGCTGCCGCTCTCCTTGTCTGGCACTTGGAGCCGGCAGTCTTGGCCCCCCAAGTGCCACTCCTCCCAACCCGCTGTTGGCACCTACTTGCAGCCCCCGAAAGCCCAACCCGGGTGGTCCCGCCTGTCTGCAGTGCCCCTGGCCACAGTGACCGGGCCTGCTCCCAGGCCGCTTCTCATCATACCCTCTTCCTCCCCTGGTGGAGAACTGCTCTGGGCCGGATGCCGAAAAAGCAGAGGTGCGTGGAGCATGGTCCTTGCTCTGGAGGAGTGCCCGGCCTGGTGCAGGAGGCCGACAGGAAGCAGGTCATTTCCATGAACCCGTGACATCAGGTTGCTCTTAAAGCCGAGCTGAGTACCCTCAGCCAGCCCAAACGAGGAGCCCCAAGTGGCCTCTCCCAGACCTCACTCCTGACACCTACAGCCGGCCCGGTTGGCCTCCGTTCAGTAGGGGCCAGCTGTCTGCATGCCACACGCTAGGGGACCCAGTGTCCCTTTAAGGCACCATTGACCTCCATTCCCAGCCTATAGGGGGAGTTCTTCCAGGCCTTAGGCGCTACAGAGGAATCTGAGATCAGTCCAGAAACAATCCAGAAACTGCGAGGGCCTCTTGAGGCAGCTTTGTGCTGTGTCAGCATCAGAATTCCTGCTGTCAGGGGGTGGTTTGCAGTGGACAGAGCTGAGCTCCTGGCAGCAGGGGGTGGGCTGAACAAAGCCAACATGCTTCCAGACAGCCAGAGCAGACCCAGACAGCAAGCATACTCTGTGCGTGTGTGCATGCGTGTGTGTGTGTGTGTGTGCTTAAACAAGCCCATCAGCCAAGACAAACAGAACCTAATCTCCTGGCGTCAGCTCACAGTTTTCAAAAATAGGTTGCTTCCCATGACGTTTTCCTTCCCTCTGTTTTGTTCCAACTCCAAACCTACCAACCCTCCCTGCTATCTTATAAATCAGACAGAGAAAGAATGGCTCTGGGTGCCAGTGGGAGGCTGGCCTCTCAGCCTGGGAGATTCAGGAGTCGGGCAGCTCTGTGTGAGCAGCCGCGGTCCTGCTGGCTCCCAGCCTCGCTCCTCAGTCATCCCTGACATCTCCCCTCGTCGTCTTCCCCCGGCAGTCGGAGGCCGGCGGGGCAGGGGCTCCCAAGGGCGGGGGCTACCCCAAACAGTGAGACCTCTGCGTGGGAAAATGTCACCAGCTGCTTGGAAAGTGATAGGATCAGAATGTGGCCTGAGGACCCTTCAGCTGAGCTGGAGGGCAGCCAGCTTGCAGGGCAGAAGCTGTCTAGAGCTCACAGTGCTGGCCAGGGCCATGGAAATAAACTCATTTGTCAACAACCCAAATGTTCACGCCAACAGAAGCCTCTCCCGACTCGAGTGTAAATTGCTGGGTAGGAGGCGGAGGAAACGCAAAGCGAGGAAATTGGAGGTGTCAGCCCCGGGATGCACCGGGGGTGGCGAACTGCGGTCCTGGACGGTGATGTCCCTAATTGCTTCCTGTGCCTCACATAGTACTTTCAGGAGTGGCCTTGAAGAGCCACAGGGAAGCTGGGCAGGAGAGCCACTAGCCTGAAGGGAGGCTGGGGCCATTCCTTACGGTGTGCGGTCATCTTAGCCAGAGCCCCTGAGGGAAACTGAGGCAGGGGGCCCAGAAGGAACGTTGTGCCGGGACAGAGCCCTCCACTCCCTGAGCTGGGACAGACCTTCTAGGCAACTAGTCCAGCTCCACACGTGTGCTCAGATTCAGCGGCCACCTCATTTTTCTTAGCATTTTCTTGACATGACAGTTCTGTTTGTGTGAGCCCACGGAACACTTCTGTCTCCAGACGCATGTCCTGGAACCACCGCAGGAGGGTGGAAAGAATCACTGGGTTCACATCCAGACCCAACCACTGACAGTCTGGGCGAGACTGGGAGACTGGGCAGGGCCTGGAGTGATCACACTCCCCTTGGAAGGATAGAAATTGTCCATGGGAGGGGCGCCTGCGTGGTTCAGTCGGTTCAGCGGCCAACTCTTGATTTCGGCTCCGGTCACGATCTCAGTGTCGCGAGATTGAGCCCCATCTCAGGCCCCACACTCAGCACAGAGTCTGCTGGAGATTCCCCCTCTCCCTCTGTCCCTCCTCCTGCTCATGCGGGAGCTTGCTCTCTCTCAAATAAATAAAATCTTTTAAAAAATTGTCCATTTGAGGTGGCTGGCACAGTGCCAGGCGCAGGCAAATCATATGCAGGTCGGACCTCCTGTGAGTATCGTCAGTACATCCTTGTAGAGGGCAGGCTAAGTCTGTCTCCCTGTAACCGCTACCCTGGTCTGTCTGCTCTAACCACAGAGCATAACAAAGTCCTCTTTCGCAAAGGTCGGTCCTTAAATATTTGAAGACTGCTGTGAGCCCTGCCAGGGCCTGGTCTGTGTGGTACAGATGTGGCTGTGGGCAGCCCACCTTGAAGATGAGTTCTCAGCTGGAGGCTATAAAATGGAGAGCTTCCATCAACCGAAAACCTTCCGTCTCTTTCTTACGGGGCTGGGAAGCCGTATCTTCCATACCCTGCGTGTGGGCACTTGGGTTCAGGCCTGAAATTTGAGACCGTTTCTACATCTGCCGAAATTCATGTCCTTATCTACAGCCTGGGAGTCTGGTTTTAGAAATCTTTAACGATCTTGAGGCTGTCATCCAGTAACTCCCTGTCTCTCCCAAATTAGCCTCCTGCGCTTTGTTTTCAAATAATAATAACTTTTAATTAATCCAGTGATGTCCAAATTGGGCATTCCTGCCTGGCTACCCAACACATCATAAAAGAAGCTCTACTCCGCGTTGTTTCTTCAAGTAGCAGATGGCGCGTCCCCTCCTGCTTCTTGTGTCTCGTTTCAACAAAAACTGGGATGTCCAGGACCATTTTCTCTAGAGAGATCTAGTTTACTCTACATGTTTGGCTTCATTATTCCCCCTTCCCTTCAACAAAGAGTTTCTTCTTCTCCCCGCCCTCCTTTGCTGTTGTAGAAAGATCTTTAGGACCTTATTCTGCGTTCCTTAGAACTTGGAGAAGGTTCAGAGGAAACCCATAAAGATGATTAAAAGAGTGTTTTGCGAGGTGGGGATGAGAATGTCCCTTGAAAAGATAAAGGCATTGGGATTAATTAGAAAGAGGTTATTTTAATAAGTTCTGATCGATGGAGGGCTTTTGCACAAAGAACCCTGACCAGCTGTTCCCCCTCCTCTGTTGAGAAACGGACATAGGAGGAGGCTGAAGCCAAAATCTTCAGTGTGTAGGAAATGCCTGTCCTGGCTGTTGCATGGTGGGAAGAATGATCACAGCAAGCTGCGTGTTCTCATGACTTAGGATGAGAAGAAAGTCACTCCCGTGTGGCTGCTTTAGAGGGGGGCGTAGGCAGAGGAAGGTCTCCCAACCGCGCCTTCCATGGGTCTGGCTTAGCGTGACCCCACAGAGGTCCTGCAGACAGCCCGCTGGTGTTTGGTGGCAGAAATCTCAACATGCTGTTCCTCTTCTCCCCTTCGATCTCTTTTTTTTTTCTCACTGTTTGTTTTTTTTTAAAAGATTTTATTTATTTGACAGAGATCACAAGTAGGCAGAGGCAGAGAGAGAGAGAGAGGGAAGCGGCTCCCCGCCAAGCAGACAGCCCAGTGCAGGACTCGATCCCAGGACCCCAAGATCATGACCTGAGCCGAAGGTAGTAGCTTAACCCACTGAGCCACCCAGGTGCCCCTACTTTTTTTTTTAAGGTGATGACATAGGGGCACCTGGCTATTCAGTGGAGTGTGTGACTCTTGATCTTGGGGTTGTATGTTCAAGCCCCCTGTTGGGTGTAGAGATTATTTAAAATAAAATTTTTAAGAATGAAGAAGAAAGTAACTTAAAAGCTTGAAGGAAGGACATGGTAAAATTTTCCGCAGAGGCTCTGGGACATCCTTGATTTGGAAGCTCCAGGTGGACTCTCTGGGCCAGTTCGGCAAAGCTCTTTGAAGGACCCGAGTGCCCCTCTGGGATCAGAGCATGCGAGGCTCTGCCCTTGGGGTCGGGGGCTGTCTTTCCCAGTGCCCGAAGCTGAGGGCTGTGGGGAACAAGGCAGCAAGTGCAAAGGGCAAACCAGATGCTTCTGGTGCGTACGGTCCATGAGATCACCACATTCTGTGCCCTGGGGTCTCATTCTTCCTCCACGCTGATAATATTAGAGCTAACAGAGGTCTCAGACATCATCTCGCACTTTCCAAACACTTCTGTGAAGTGTGGGGACCCTTTATCCACAAATAAAATTGCACAGAGAACTGTAGTGTCTCGGAGATAAAACAGGAGCTGCCCTGGCTGCTGGGGTGGGTGGGGGGAGTGTCCCAAACCCCAGGCCATGGGGGGCCCTCAGGGGCCCTCTGCAGAGCTTTCCCACTTCCCCGACCCCCTTTTCTTACCCAGGGAGAAACAGGCCCAGAGAACACTGGAGAGCTGACGTAGGCATGGCTACTTGCTGCCTGCCGCTTGGTTCCCAGCACCCAGGAGGGCCTGGGCTCCGTGGGGCAGACTGAGTCCATCCCTGCCCTTTTCTGTCTAGTGGCTCAGGTGCTTTGGAGACACGTTTCTGAGACATTCCCTTCAGTCTCCTGAACGATCTGGTTTGTTTCTCCTTTGACTTGGATGGACCATCCTTGAGGCCCACTCTTTCTTCCCAGGCTTCTACGGATTGGGGTGGGTGGGGGTAAGGGCTTGTTCTCACTTAACGGAGATACACGCGAGCCAGAGGTGCTAGGGGGAGGGAGCTCTGACCACATGGGGCAGCAGTGCTGAGCGGAAGTATGTCCAGTCTGGAGGGGGTACGGGTTGGGGGAAGACCCCAGGATCCTGGGTGGATAGGGAGATGGATAGCTGGGTGGACACATGGTAAGCTGGAAGTGTAAAATGTTAATAGTAGCTAGAATCCCGGGCTCTACTATAGCATTTTAAAATCTTTTCTCTACGTTTAAAAATGTTGTGGTTAAGCATTGGGGTGGGGAAACATTCTGGGGCCTTGAAGGATGAGTAGGGATTTGTTTAGTGAGAAAGAAGAGGAACATGGCAGGCAGAGGGCTGACTTGTTGGGGGCCCCAGAGCAGTAAGGGTCCTGAGGCCGTCTGCTGTTCTAGAAAGTCTGAAGGGTATTTGGAGAAGGCCGGTGGCTCTGGGAGGTGATATCACCAGCTTCTGCCAGGGTGGCTCAGGACCTCTTTCCGTCTTGGGATTGGCCTACAGTTTGGATAGGGAGTCACTGACCTCTTTCCTTTCCCTCCCCAGCCCAGGGAGCCAGGGCTTGCTGCTTGGCCACAAACACCAGACAGAGCCACACTTTCTTGTTCTGGACCTGTCTGGAGCGGGAGGGGGCGGGGGGCGGTAGCTGCCTTTGCCAGAGGGAGTGGGCCTATGGCTGGCGCTCCAGAACCTTTTGCTCATCAGAGATTTTGTTTGCGGACACCTGGAGTGCTCGTCTCCTCCATAGGGGGCATATACACATCCAGGAGGGGATCCGGGCACTGTGCCTCTTCCCTCTGGCCGCCACCTGGCCACCTGTGTCCCCAGGCTCTGGCTTTCCTGCTCTTCGTCCCCACGCGTTTTGGCTGGTCTCCAGCGTGTCTTCCAAAGCACTAGGCAGGATCTGCTGCCCAAGAATGGCCAAATGTCTTTTTCCTTTTGCTTAATGAGGGCTGGTCCTTTAAAGTGAATCCAAATCCGTGCTCCCTTACGTGCCTTGAGAAGGTGCTCCAGGCGCTCTAACGATGTATCATAAATATGATTAGATTATTTTTATTGTGCACCTCGGTGCTGGCCATGGGATCCTTCCTGTGATCTAACGTGATTGCTTTTTTCAGAAGTTCATCTGTGTGGGCTTTTGTTTTGTTTTTCGATTTTCATCCTAGCGCTCACTCATGAGCGCACTTTGTTTCTGTAATTAGGATTTCCGCTGAGCCTTTGGCTTTCCTGTGTAGTCACTGTCCCTGCGGTGACTGGATTTGATCTATGGGTGTCTACCAGCACCCGTGGCTGGGATTGTGGCAATCCATCACCAAGTTCTGGCCAGGTTTCAGGTCTCAGGCCTTTTCCCCTTTTCCTCTTGGGGCCAGCCGGAGAATATGAGCCGTTAACAATGGTGGAGAGTGGACAGTTCTTGGCATCTTATTGGATATGATGTCCTGTGCGATTAATGTTTTTATATTTGCCTCGTGTTATTCTAACGCATGCATGAATGTTTATAAATGCTGACTTCTGGGGCACTGGGGCCTAGGATGAGTCCTGGAGAGGGAAAATTTGATTCTAGGTGAATGAGAATTGTCCATTCTCCCGAGTGGAGAGGAGGCCCGCAAGAAGACTAAGCTGGTGTAGATCCTGAGCCAGGGCAGTGATGGGGAGAGATTAGTTTTGCATGGACCAAGGGTTCAGAGCACCGAAGAGTGGAGGTGTCCCCAGCCTTCCCCCTCCAGCCTCAGTCTGCTTCTGGCCTCCCCTCCTCTGTGTCACCTGCTGGTGGGAAATCTACTCCCCGCAGGGGCTGATTTGGCCAGGGGTGCAGCCGGTCCCTGAAACTCGAGGTCAGGGGAAGGAGAGAGGAGTTGTGAATACCCAGTGATTTGCTGACAGCCCCTTAGTTCCAGGATCACTCTGCCTTCTCCCAAACCTAGAATGGGAGTTGTAGGAGAACCAAGAGTGGGACTATTTTCACAGAAAAAACTAGAAGGTCTGGATGTTGAGCTTGCTGGCCCCGTAACCCAGAGCAGCATTCTGGTTGTATGGAGGGTCAGCAGCAGGGTAGAACGAAGACAAGGGCGGTGTTTCCATAACCAGACAGGGCCTAGCAATCCAGAGGCTCTCCAATGAAGCTTTTTTTCTTCTGGTGAACACCAGACTGTTTTGGACCCAGCTGCCTAAATCTAGAAACCTTCTGTCTTGACACCCCTTCTGTAGTGGGGTGACTGCGGGCTGACCCATGTGGGTTGGGCTTCTTTCCTCAGCTGCCCCTGCTCTTGGGGAAGGAGCCCCCGCAGGCTGAGCAGCCGGGGGAACGCTGATGGCAGAAGCAGTTTCCAGACCTGGTGTCTGGCTGGTCATGATCTGCTTATTCTGTGATGGGGAGGTCTGTCAACATCAGTACTTCGGTCTTACCTGCAGGATTAGGCTCAGGACACTCGTCGTTCAGTGGTAAAGGGTGTGTATGTGCATATAAGTGTGTAAGGGAGCACTATTTAGAGATCTTGGACTAAGTATGGATAGAAGGAAGGCAGCCTGCCTCCATCAATTACTTCTCTCCAAAGTACTTAGGGTGTAGCTACTATGTGTCAGTCATGGATGCTGGAGAAATTGGGCCGAGAGAGGCCAGCCCTACCCTGAAGGAGCTTCGGTATAGAGGGGGAGGCAGATAGGGGGCCCAGCCGTAATGCCCCTGCGTGCCAAGCTCAGTGTTACACTGCACTGGTGAGCCCTGGGATTCCCTGCTTCACATCTGGCCACATCTGTGTTTGACTCAGCAGATGATTACTGGGCCTTTTATCCATGTGTGTCTCAGCGTAGGGTTTGAGGTCATCTCCGGGGTAGGAAATGATGGCATCTGCTTCTCCCTTGTGGTGTTTCTGATCTAGTGGAAGGGGAAACCTAGTTCTGGCCAAGCTGGCCAGACGAGGAGACAGTTTACAAAGCCGAACCGAGATCATGTACATGTGCGGTGTCTAGAGCAGTTACGTCCATCAGAAACATTTCCAAAGGAGGTGGTTTGGAGGCTGAGCTGTGAGAAGGAAAGACCAACCTCTGGTGCATCTCTCATCCCCTTCATGCACTGGGTCATCGGCTGCCTCTGGTGTTCAGGTGGTGGGGACAGCCTTCCTCTTTGTTTCACCCCCAATGGGACTCGGAGCTTTTCTCTGTAGAACGTTCCTGTGGTCAGTTTGGCAGGTGGTTGAGGGAGCTCCACAGGCAGGTTTCAGCGAGAGCACGAGTCAGGCTGCCATCTGGAGCAGGGAGAGCCTGTGGAAGCCAGGTCAGAAAGTGGGAAAGGTCTGTCTTCAGGGGAACAGTTCTTCCAAGGATAGAGCGGGCTCCAGTGGTGACCAGGGGTCCATTGGAGTCCTCTTCGGGAAGACGTGTCAGCTTGCTAGCTTCTCAGACCTTAGCGAGATGTCACATGTGCCACCAGAATGTACCTAATACAGTCATGACATACACTCTTGCTGTTGCTGGGAGTGTAGATGACTTGGTCTCGTCTTTCTGGAGGCTCTTTTGTGATTACCAGTCCATGTTCTAAATGACTGTGTACCATTTCACTGAGAAGTTCCACTTCTAGAGCTTGTCCTATAGAAGCACTGGTACAAATGTAGTAGCCTGTGTGTGTATGAATGTTCCTGGCCCCATTGTTTGCATTGGCCAAAAAGAGGCCTTAAGACACATGCCCAGCAACGGAAGCATGGGGAGATGCTTCATGGTGCAGAATGGAGGGGCCATACGAGGCAATGGGGAAAGGTTAACGAGAGTATTCTGTTGAAGAGAAAAAGCAAACTGCAAAGGATCGTATTTTTAGACATAAAGAACGCTCTGTACAACCTTGTGCCAATGTGCACGTGAGAGTACAGAGCTAGGGACCCTTGTACTTCTGTTGAAAAAGAGCTTGCTTCCTCTGGGGCAACAGGAGGCAGTGAGAGAGGGGCCCTCCACTTGGCATCCCCCCCACGTCCGGCTTTCTCGGGCAAGTGTGCACTCCTCTTGTGATTTTAAAGAATTGGCTCCTGCTTGGCCAGAGGAGGTGGAATGGGACACACAGTGTCCCCAGCAGGCTAGCCAGAGGCGCATGTGTTCCCTAGGAGCTGAACAGGACCTGCCGGGCCATGCAGCAGCGCATCGTGGAGCTCATCTCCCGCGTGTCCAACGAGGAGGTCACTGAGGAACTGCTTCACGTCAATGATGACCTCAACAACGTCTTCCTCCGCTACGAGAGGTGGGGCCGGGGTCCCTTCTTGTCCTGCCCAGAGACTGTTGCCAACGGAGGGATTTCTCTCCTGAACAATGGGGAGAGGGAGAGGACGGTTGGAAAATGCTCATCAGAGATGCTAATTTGTTCTCGGCTGACAGGGAAAATGCTTCTCGTTCTCCTGGGAACTGAGCAGCAGGAAGGTGATGGGCAGAATTAGGCTCTGCCCTTTGCAAGCCTTAGGCTGCCCTGCCTCCCCCACTCCCCCCAGGCCCATGAGGGGAGGGCTGGGGCCCTGGGGCCCGGAGCTTGCACCTGTCCCTTTGAAGGTCCTTTGAGTTTGAAAAGGATTAAAGGTTGGGGGGAATCTCCGTTAAGGAAAAAAGACTTCCTCTTTGCCATCTTTAAAGAAAGAAGAAAAAGAGATTTTCCCCTCCCTTTGCAAATGGTAGTCTAGAGTGTTCCAAAGAAGGCAGGGTGCTTAGGGAAACACACACACACACACACACACACACACACACACACTTCATTTGAGTTTTTTCGGCAGCGAAATCATTTTCGGATTTGAGGTAACCAGCTTGAAAATTCTTTTCCAAAGGCTCCCCTGGGGAAGGAGTTGTCAGTAGGAGAAAATGGCAGGCGCAGCTCCCAGAGCATCACTCGTCACCTGGGCTCAGGCTTCCCCCAGCAAAGGCACCAGAAGGCACCTTGCCCAGGGCCACCTTCTCCCAAGTCTGAGGCCCTCGACCATCAGAGACTTGGGGCCCTGGTCCCTGCACTCACAGCGCCATGACCTGGCATCAGTTAGGGTCAGTGGGACAGACGCTTGGGTCTGGCGGCTTAGACATTTTGCTATGGGCATCATGACCCCGGGCCTTGTCTCCGCTTCAACTGGGGAGCAGGGATGGGTGGTCCTGGGTCTATGGAACAAATTTCGAAGAAATCTCTTTAGTAAGAATGTGTGGCCACCCAGGGGCCTCGTGTGTCCTTCGGAGATCAGGAGCAGATCTGGGGTGCCTCGACTCCGAGCTTGAGACCCCTTGGTTTTGCCTTGTGGTTCCAGTTTCTCTACCTTAAATGAGCCTGGCTTTTCACCTGTTAAAGCCATTTCTGCCCCTCCTAGGATAGGAAGACGGGCTCATGTCAGCATTTTCCCCCAAGTCTGTCACGGCCGGCCTGACCACAAATTCAGAGCAAGCCCTGAGGTGCCATTCTGGCTAGAGTGCTGTTGATAAGACTGCTAGTCCCTCCAGGATGGTGTGAGAAAGGTACTCCAGGATTAGAAACCTTTCAGGCCTGTTAACATTCCGCTTCTCCTGATAGGCCATGATTCATAAAAACACCCAAGTCTCTCTTGAAACCACAGTGGACACACACAGCCTAACCAGGTTATCCCTCGTGGGGATCCCTACTCACCAGGCACTGAGCCGAGCAGGTCTCAGTAAAGGCTGGTTTCTCCAGCCTCTAGCTGCAGGAGGTCTCTTAGCCACCTCTTTGCCCATGGCATTTTGGAACTTTTAAATGCAAGGGCAGTCCATGTGCCTGCCTCCCTGTTGCCCTTGGATTCCCCACCTGGTGGGTACAGGAGAGGAGAGGCTCTCTGTGGTTGCTCCTAGCCAGGTCCCATCCACAGCTGCTGGGGAGTCTTTGGGCCAGGCCAAGGGCCTGCACCTGTCTCCCTCCTCTAGGCGTCTGCCCTGTGTGCGCCCCAGCCCCCCTCCTCTAGCACGCTGAGCTGGGGGCATTTTAGTGACGTAGGCTAATCACACCGAGCACAGCTCTGTGAAAAGGGAGGGGACGGCATTTCTAGCCTGGCTTTGCAGATCCATATCTGAGCTACTCCCAGGTAAATGGTTGGGCCAGCCTCCCCTTCTAGGAAAGAGGAGCACTCTGGGCCCAGAGCGTGAGGGGACAGCTGGGGTTGCTTATAATGACCGCCTTATGATGGCATGTGCCAACCAACACCTTCCTCCCTCACCTCCACGTGCTCGTGGGTGATCCTGGAGGCCAATCCTCTGGAGGAAGGCATGGCAAAGTTGGAGCGGGGGAGTCCACTCTCCCTGGTCCCCCAAATGGCCCAGATTGGTTTCCTTTCCTGGAGCCTCGGTCCCTAGGAGCTCTTCACAGGACCAGAGAGCATCACTGTGCTATATCGTCCCTCCTCACTCTGCTTTCCCTTCCCCTGTTAGGTTCGAGCGATACAGGTCAGGCCGATCGGTGCAAAATCCCAGTAATGGAGTAAGTATTCCTTCAGAATTCACCCCTCTCCAGATGCTGGGAGACCTGTATCCCTTTGGTCTCACCTCTGGCGTTTCTAAGTGGGGGCTAAATATGTGGGTCATGAGGGGCACCTGGCTGGCCCAGTCTCTAGAGCATGGGTCTCTCAGGGTCGTGAGTTCAAGCCCCACGTTGGGGGTAGAGTTTTCTTTAAAAAAAAAAAAAAAAAATTAGGATAATGAAGGAGCAAGCTCTGGCTGATGGGATACTGCAGAAGAACTAGCAGACACGTTTCTGGCGGGAGTGTGGCAAGCAAGCCCCAAGTTACAGCTCCCCGGACAGCAACTGTCCTGATGACAGCTTCACTTGCCTCCTTTGGGGACAGCAGGGAGGAGCCAATGGGCAGGGGCCACCATGGAGCCCTGAAGTCCTGGTGAGGAAAACTGCCTTGTTCCTGGACTAGTGCAGCATTGCTGCTTCTCCTTGGGCGCCCTGCAGCAGGCCTGCCGGCTCGTACCTAGGACCCCAGCTCGGGGCTCAGGGGCTCACCACTGTCTTATGTGCTGGCAGGTACTGAACGAGGTGACAGAAGACAACTTAATAGACCTGGGCCCGGGGTCTCCAGCCGTGGTGAGCCCAATGGTGGGGAACACGGCACCCCCGTCTTCTCTCTCCTCTCAGCTTGCAGGCTTAGGTAAGTGTCTCACAGGGCTATCAGGGGCCTTCTTTTCAGTCCACTTCCCAGTTGTGAGTCAGGGCTGAGGGCCCCTTTGTCTTCTTGGTTGGAAGGCCCAAAGAGAGCCTTTAGAGGGATCCATGGAAAAGTGTATCCCTGACACCCTGTGGCACCTTTAGTTGATGACTTCTGTCCCTTAACTTCAAAGTTTAAACCTGTATTGGAAAGAAGGGGGCAGTGGGGGGAGTTCCAAGCAACTGGAAGCTATTTACCTTTAAGGAACAGTAGCTGCTGTGTTTTATCTGGAATGTTCTCTGTGGTCAAAGTGATTGTCTTCTCAAATTAACTAGGCCAAGGATGGCAAATAGGTTTCAGCTCATTGGCTGCTTGGGACAAGGTCTAAGAAGGATGCTGCTTGGGAGATGAGTCTGTGGTTGATTGGTGATGCCTGCCACGGGCTTGGAAACGGGAGGCGATGGTGCAGGTGTATTTGCTCTTCTTGAACTAACCAGCAGCCCAGGGTGCTGTCTGAAGCCTAAAACAAAAGAAACTCACCACTTTCCCACTTTTTCATTCACGAGTGTGGATATGATTCTAGATGTTACAAATACACTAGATGATACACCGATTTGTAATAGATAAAATTACCATATTGAAGTAATAACACACAGCCCTCACAAAATTCTTTCCATCTTGCTTTTCTGTTTGCCTTTTTTTTTTTTTCTTAATATTTATCTTTAGGGGTGCCTGGGCGGCTCAGTGGATTAAGCCTCTGCCTTCAGCTCAGGTCATGATCTCAGGGTCCTGGGATCGAGCCCCGCATCGGGCTCTCTGCTCCGTGGGGAGCCTGCTTCCCCCTCTCTCTCTGCGTGCTACTCTGCCTATTTGTGATCTCTCTCTCTGTCAAATAAATAAATAAAATCTTAAAAAATATATTTTTCTTTATACCTTCATTCCATTTCAGTTGAATCGGGCTTTGATTTAGTGGCCTGTCCATTGCTATAATTCTGACTTCTCAGCATCTCATGAATCCAGGAATCCAGCATGGCCACTGTTTCTCTTTTGGAACAGATTTCTCTGCCTTCAATCCACCCAGCATATGGCCACCAGATTTAATATCTGAAAGTCAAATGAATTCTGCCTTCCATCTTAAATAAAGGTCTAGTATTGGGGCGCCTGGGTGGCACAGTCGGGTAAGCGTCTGACTCTTGATTTTGGCTCAGGTCATGGTCTCAGGGTCATAAACTCAGGGTCATGAGATCAAGCCCTGTGTCAGGCTCCACGCTGGGCATGGATCCTGCTTAAGATTCTCTCTCTCCTTCTCCCTCTGACCTTCTCCCACCGCTTGCACATGCTTTCTCTCTCTCTCTCTGTCTCTCAATAAATAAATCTTAAAAAAAAAAAAAAAAAACGGTCTGGGGGCGCCTCGGTGGCTCCGTTGGCTGAGCATCTGCCTTCAGCTCAGGTCATGATCTCGGGGTCCTGGAATCAAGCCTCACATTGGGCTCCTTGCTCAGTGGGGAGCCTGCTTCTCCCTCTGCTCCTCCCTTCTGCTCATGTTTTCTCTCTCTCTCTCTCTCAAATAAATTTTAAAAACCTTTTAAGAAAAAGGGTCTGGTGTCCTTCTCATTGGCTCCTTTACCTGGATTTTGAGGCTTTTCACAGCCCAGCCTCTGCCCACTTGCCTTTCTAGCCTTTTTGTTCATCATTGTCTCCAGAAGCGTGTTTCACTCCACACACCCTGGACTTCCCGGCTCTGTGCCTTGGTACCTGGCTCTCCCCCTTCTCCTCGCAACAGAGTCCCCCTTGTCCTTTAAGCCCCACTCGTGAGTCAGTTTTGAGTCTCTTCTAATTATCTCAAGCTAGGTCCTGCGGGCGTCTGTCTGTCCCCCACCTACTGGGTGTGCCCTAAGGCCGAGGACCGCGTTAGTCTCAGTTGGGTCCGCTCATGGTCTGGCTCTGAACGTGGTGGGTGCCTGCAAAATCTTTGTCAAGGAAATACATGAGCCAGGCGCTTAGACGTGTGATTGAGTCAGCGAGGAGCGTACTGACGAGAGTGCCACGGGACGTCTGCAGGGACACCGGCCCCAGGCTCCTCCTCGCTGCCAGCAATCTCCCTCTCATTCATAATGACTCTTCCCCACCTTGAGCAGCTCTGGAGCCCGTGGTTTCTGTCCCCCCATCTGGGCCCCAGCATGGCTCCTCCTGCACATGGTAGGCTAGGGGTGCCGAGAAGAGGCCTGTGTCCCCGCTGCCCTGCCTCCCCGTGTAGAACCCTAACCTGACCACCCTTCCGGACCTTGGGACCCTTAGTCCCCAGGCCACATTTTATTCTCATCGTCCCCTCCTTTGTTTTGTCGCCACAGACTTGGGGACGGAGAGCGTCAGCGGCACCCTCAGTTCACTCCAGCAGTGTAATCCCCATGACGGCTTTGACATGTTTGCCCAGACGAGAGGGAACTCCTTGGCTGAACAACGCAAGACGTACGTGGGGACCGTTTCGGTGGCTCTCGGAAGCCATCGGGGGAGGATGGATCCAGGCCTGGTCACAGGCCAACACAAAGACGCCTTTTAGTTACCAAGTCCAGGGCTGCCAAGAATGCTGAAATATGTCTGTGAGGACTTGGCAGTAGACACAGATTTTGAATGAACACCCCCCCCCCCACCCCGCAGCTCCCGCCTTGGGGTTGACTGCGGTTGGATTTCTCCCGTCAGTCACCAGAGAGTGCTCTGCGTTCTCCCACTCCCCGTGCTGCTGAGGAGGAGCTGGGAGCTGGGGGGCCGCCAGGCACGGCACGGAGTAGCTCTTACCAGCGTGGTTTGCCTGCGCGAGGGTGTGGGCAGAGGGTTCCCTGATGGCAGCGCCTGCCAGGAGAAGCCATATGAAATCCGGGACGTTGGTCCCAAAATAGACCACTCCCTACATCTCAGGGAGGCACAGGAATATGGCTTTGAGCTTCTCGTTCAATCTTGAGGCAGGCCAAGAACGCTTTCCTGCCTCTCCCCGGGGCCCGGCACCTTGAGGCACTTTGCTTTCCGCGTTTCCCTGCTCACGCATCAACAGGTTAACCAGAAACCCAACCCAAAGCCCCCGTTCACGCTTCACCAGCTGTCACCACCTGCCTTGTCAAAAGCCACTGCGGTGGCTGCTTTTTAAAACAAGAATTAATGTTGCCTGCAGTTTCAGGGTACTTTTGACGTCTTCTGTCATTGGGCTTTGGAGATGCCCTAGTATTGTTCCTTGAGAGGAATGTTGACGGTGTCCCAGAACCCAGAGGAAAGGAGGGGCTGAGGCAGTGCTGGAACCCTGGCCTCCTGGCTTTAGCTGCAGTCAGACGGTGCACGAGCCCTTCAACGCCAGGGCTGTGGGGAATGGCTTTCCAGGCACACGTGAGGGAGGTGCCAGGGCTAGAAAGTGATTCTGGGTCACCGCCCTGTCCCCTGGGAACACTGCAGGGAACTCACTGTGCTGCTTGTCTCCAGGGTGACCTACGAGGATCCCCAGGCTGTCGGAGGACTGGCTTCTGCACTGGACAGTCGGAAACAGAGCTCTGAAGTGGTAGGTTTTCCAGCCTGTTTTTCTACCTGGAGTCCTCTGGAGGGGAAGTCGGCCCGGTAGGGAAGCAGATGCCGGGCTGCGTGGGGGGCAGGGCCCACTGGGGGAGACCGGCAGCGTGAGAGCACTGGACTGCCTCACTGAGTCTGGGTGAGGCCCAGTCAGCCTGCCCATGGACCCAAGAGCGGACAGGCCCCGAGAGGTGGCAGCGTGCTCAGGCCTCCCTCCTAGGAGGCCTAGCCCCAGAGCCACCTTCTCTTCCGACCTTGGTGGCCCCAAGCTCTCAGGGCACAGGTCTCCGTAGCCAGATGGGGTCTGTCAGCTGGTGCACTGCCCTGGGGGTGGGCAGTGCTCTGATGAAACATGGGTTGGTACAAGGAAGGGAGAAGCTCATCTGAGCCACATCCGGGCTGCTCGTCCATCGTCTGCCTCGAGACGCAGTACCAACCCACTAGCAGGCAGCGGAGGGCCAGGATTTGGCTGGGGATCTGGGCTGGGGGTGGGTGGAGGCCAGGAGGGTGTTCTGGAAGGGGCAGAGCTAAAGGCAGAGGTGCTTTGAAGTGGAGGGTGGTGCTTGTTAGAGCCCCAGATGGCAGCTGTGGATTCTGAGGTTTCAGGTCATTGCCGGAGAAAGGATGTGTGTCTTAATGCTTCTCATGGGATCGTCCCCCTTTTCACCTAAGGAATGTGTGTGGCAGTGTGTGAATGAGTGTCTGTTTGCAGGGACAGAGAGGGGAGGGCGGATAAGGGCCCTGGAACAGCGGAACCTCCTTTCAGGGTCCCCCAGCTGGGTTAGAGAGGAGCAGTGCTCATCTGCCCACTGGAAAGGGAGGTTTGCTTCCAGAACAAGAGTTCCTGGCCTCCTGCTGCCCGTGTCCAAATGGGCCCAGGCCGGCACCGGTTTCTGTGAGAAGGCTCACCTTGGGGAAGGGACTTGGCGCCTCTGTCCTGGCTCAGCCAACTTGGTAGCCGGCCTGTGTGGCCCTCTGCACTGGCCACCAGGGGGCACAGAAGAGCCAGCCCAACTGCCTTGGGTTTGAGCACCCTGCCTTTCCACACACCCCCACCCCTACCCCAGGACTGGGACTCCTAAAATCTATGCAGTGGTCATGTCTCTGTTTCTCCCAGTACTTGGAATGTCTCCTCCTGAACTCAGAGGGCATCAGGAGGCCGGGCTGAGGGCCCACCAGCACCTCCCCTCCTTCCTGGCCCCCCACAACCTGGCCGGCAGCCCCATCCCTCCCTCCGGGCCCACCTGGTCTGCTCCCCGCTGTGTCGCCCGGGCTGGCCCCCATCCACGCCAGGGTGTGTCCTGCTGCACCTCTGTACTTATCAGTGTCCAGGCCTGGATCCGTGCATACAAGAGGTGGCCAGCTTCCCACCCTTCACCCTTCGGGGTGTGTGGCTTGGCCCATCTCCCTGTTTTTAGAGATTTTGATGAGTCCAGCATGATGGTAGGCAGATCGCTTTCATGTGTACTGCTGCATGGGGGGAAGCAGGGTTTGTGCGCCCTGTGTGTGTGTGTCTGGGTGTGTCTCTGTGTGCACACACACTGACCCACGTGAACCCTCCAGCCAAGATTGCAGCTTCTCTTGTCCTGTATACTAAACTGTGCTGACCTGGAAATGAAAACTGGGCCACAGGAGAGAAGGAGAACACAGGCAAGGGGAGAGAATTGTAGCATCACACCACCGAGCAGCCAGACCCAAATCGTGACTTTTTACATGCTTGTATCTGTTCAGAAAGGCCGATACACCCAAATTCAGCGTTCGAGCTAAGAGTTTGGAAAAAGAACGCACAGGTAGCTGAGGAGGAGGAAAAAAACAGAAATAAGTTAGAAAAAAAGTAGAAATGACTTCGTGAAAGCTGGTTCTTTGAAAAATTGACCCTTTGCCAACCCCAGAGCCCTAATGAGCAGAAGCAGCATGATCAGCCTTCCGTGACCTTACGGAGATCTTTCAAGTGTGCAGGGATAGTTGGCATGAGTACTTGGTACCCTGTTGGGATTCTCAGTTACTAAACTTCTCTTCTCTTTTTCAGGCAGGTAAGGGGGAACATGCTGGCGGTGGGGGTGTGGGGCAGCGGGACCCATCTCCTTGCACACTGACGATAGATCAACTCTGAACAGTGGCTTTTCTGTCTCCATGATATATACTGTTGCTTTCTTTATCCTGGGTCTTGCTGTGACTTTTCTTTCTGGGACTTTTCTGTCCTCGGCCCAGAAGAGGGGTAAAGGTGGGCACTCTGACCTGGAGCCCATAGACAGCTGGCTCATAACCCAAGGAATGGTGAGAAGTCACCAGCTGCACCGAGCCCCCTGTCCTCCCCAGTGCTTATCTGTGTCCCCTGCTGAGCCCTTGTGAGTCAAGACAGTACAAGGCCATTCTCTCCTTTCTGACTGGGTGCCAAATTTTCCCCTCCTGCGTTTGTGCCATCTCCTGAAGCCACAGACTTCCAGCCCTGGAAATACCTTCTCTGGTTTTCTGCTGAGGTCCGTGCCTCTGAGCCTTAAGGGTCTGGGACATTTGTGGGAGTGAGGGGAGGGCTCCTTCCCTCCTTTTACTGTCTCTGGAGCTCTTGGCAGTATTCAGTTTTCCAGGATAGAGCACAAGTTTCTGTGGTTTTTGCTTTGAGGTGGGGGGCGTTTCTGAGAGAATGGACTTGAAAGTATCTGACGGGTTAAAGACGCCCCCTCCAGACTATGAATTTGGCAGTCCTAGGCTGATGGGTTTTTATAATGGAGTTATTTGCGTCCACTATATCCCCTAGAAGAATTTAAGACATCTTTAAGAAACACACAAACACAATGGGAGCAGAGTAAAAAGAAGACAAAGCCAGGGGAGGGTTTTCTTTGTTTTGTTCTTAAGGATTTTATTTATTTCTTTGACAGAGGGAGAGAGATCACAAGTAGGCAGGCAGAGAGAGAGAAGGAAACAGGCTCGCCACTAAGCAGACATCCCAACGTGGGGCTCGATCCCAGGACTCTGAGATCATGACCTGAGCGAAGGCAGAGGCTTAACCCACTGAGCCACCCAGGCACCCTTGTTTTGTTTTGTTTTGTTTTTTTTAATTCGATAGCCAACATATAGTACAGCATTAGTTTTAAGCCGGGGGAGTTTTAATATCATAAACACATTTCTCATGAAGTAGAGCACTTCTGCCACAGAGTCCTGGGTGGGTCTCTCCTGCCTCATGTGGTCCGGTGGCCCTGAGTCTGATACAGAACAAGAGGGTGACCTCGTTCCAGGCCGCTGGCTTTGGAGCGATGATTTCATTCCGATTAAGCCCTGGCCCTCACCGAGCACCTCTGACCCAGAGCCCAAAGGTCTGTGCGGACAGGCTGGAGCAGGATGGGTTGCACAGAAGGAGGCTGGAGAGAAACCGTGAAGCGTCAGCCTGTGGGGTGGAGCAGGGCAGACACTAGGCACACACACCAGGGGGAGGACGCATAACTGCCAGCCCGTGGCCAGCGTGTCCGAGATGGGAGCAGCATAGCGGGGGTCACCTGCCTGAGCAAGGTGTGGCCAGCATGCAAGGCTGTGGGGGGCATCTGCCTGCCACTCCGGCTTGGAGCTAAGGACCTTTGCATGGCCACACTTGGGTCCCAGCAGCAGGCACTCCATACTGCAGTATTGCTACACTAGACCGCACAGCAGTTCTGAGACACGTAGGCTGCCTGGGCCCTTCATTGACTTCTTCAGGGACAGGCTGGGGCTCGGGTCCTGTGTGCGGGTGACCTTAGAGCAGGACTCCTGGAGACCACGTCCACATCAATTCCAAATTGGGAGGATCCAGCCGTGTGTCCTTGTGCCTATTAATCCTGCAAAAAAGGATACTGCCCATACAAAGTACCCTGAGTGTGGCTTTGGCCGGTGGTGGCGCCTGCCTCTGCCCATACAGAGCCCCCCTCTTCTGGCCTGTCCCCCCACTAGAGCTCCAGTCTCCAACTTCCCAGAAACAAGCCCAACTAACAGCTAACCCGGTATCTTACCTGCCTGACTGCAGTGTTGTTGTTTCTTTTAAACAACGTCTATTAATTGCTTTGCCTTATTTCCCATAGTGTAGAAACCCTGAGTCTTTCCAAACCCCCCAAGTACAAATTCTTTACTTGGAAACTTTTTGTGCTATCGAGTGAGACTGAAGGGCTTCTTAGACCGTTCCTCATGTTTTGGTGGCAGTGGGACGCGTCATAGGGAGGCTTTCACAGTTCTCTAGAAAGAACACACCTGAGCTTTTCAGAAATTGCTCCCGTTGGCGTGGTAGATCAGACTCGTGGGCTGCCTTGTAGAGTTGGGGCTCGGTCTCCTTGAGATGCTGGGTGTCTAGGTGACCAACACCGCAGTTAACCGTCCCAGATTCGTTGGCCATCAAAGAGAACCCTGAGAGGCATGGTGAGCCAGCCTGCCTGGAGGCTGCTGATGCACTGTGCCCCCCTCAACCCCACGCCCTCTCCACATGCAGGGCGCAGCCAGGAAGATCTCCTGAGAGGACTGAACATAAGCCCCGACAGGAGCAGCGGTAGTTTAGTGGGAGTGCGCTGCTGCCAAAGCCCAGGTTTGGGCCTGGGAGTGGTGGGGTGCCCTGCTCAGCCCTGGAGGACCCCCAGACACAGCAAGGCCAAAGCCACAAAGATGTCTGGCTGTGGCCAGGCCCGCGGCACTGCCTCTCCCGCACCTGCAGCCCGTCGAAGGACAGCGGACAGCTCCCCCAGCGTGCATGTCAAAATCTGTCACTTCTGGCACTCAGCACGCCAGTTTCTCTTCGGACTCTGCAGATGGGCCGGGCGTGTCTCCCCATTGCCTCAATCGAGCCGGCCCCACGGGCGCCGGTCTGTGTGGGATGGGTGGTCCCGTGCCAGCGTCCTTTATTTTTCTGTCTTCGCATCTTTTTCTTTCTGTTCCCCTCCCCCAACACCAACACCTTCCTCTTCAGACCCTTCAGACCAGCCTTCAGCTCTGGATCATTGTCCAAAAAGATGCTAAAACCATGGCATGGCAGAGGCCACATCTCTTGGGGATCCGCTCGAGTCTCATTGGAGATGAGAACACTGGGTCTTCCCAGGGGCCTGGTGACGTGCCCAAAGCCATGGGGCAGTGACAGAGTCCATTGCCCTCTTCCCTGGCCAAGGCCTCTCCCAGGAGAGCTTCCTCTTCCTCCCTCCCCGTTTCTGCAGTTCTGTCTGGGGAGTAGCGTGCGTGCTTAATCTGAGTCCAGTAGTACCTGCGCTACTAGAAGGAACTTTGCCCTGCTGGAAGTCTCAAGGCATTGATTTATCAGGCCGGGAGGTTTATATAGCTAAGGTGTTCTGTCCAACCACGAGGAACACAACCCTTGCCCTGTGTTCTATAAGCTTTACTCCTAGGTCTCCCCATAGCTGCACGGGGATTCCCACCCCGAGGCCAAGTGCCTTTCTTACTGGAAGGACTCAATGCCAGCTGTGTACGATATCGCTGGGTTTCAGAATTAGGAAACAGAAACCCTGACCTGGAAGTTAAGGGGTTCGGAGTCCTCGGTGGTGAAAACTAAGTATGACCCAGCCATCACCCTATTTCACAGATAAGGAAACGGAGGCCCAAGAATTGCCCAAGTCCCATCCCCATTCCTGCTCTGCCTCTTTACCCGAAGACCTGAGGCTTCTTAGGGTAGCAGAGGTTCCAGCGCTCCTGAGCGAAGAAGCATATCCAGGGAAAAGTGATTGATTGAAAAATGATCTGACCAGCCCAGCCCAAGGGGTCCATCGCTGGGTGTCCTGGCTCCCGGGGCTTCGCCTATAGGATGTGCTTCCAGAAGCCCACTGTTTATTAGGAGACGTCTAAGAGAAGGAGAAAAAGTGTTCCCATGATCCATCTTTTGGGAAGTTTTGTTTTGTTTTGTTTTGTTTTTTGAGGAGTTTCTCAAATGTCGATGTTTATTTTCTGAGTGTGCTGGGTTTCGGGATTAATCCTCAAGGAAGAAAACTGGAGCATGATACCCAACCTCGAGAGGCTGACTTTGGAACAGGGACAAAAATATTGTAAACCAAATCAGAAGGTTGAAGGCCCGTGACCCCTTCATGGCTTTTTCTCAAGCTCCCGCCACACATCGGAAAGCTCTGCCCCTCAAACCTCTGTTTCTCCTTGATAGGCTAAAGCTGGGTCAGTATAAAAAACCGCAGTGCACACTCCCAGCCACCGACTGTGGTTGGGCGTTTTTTGTTTGGAGATGCCGCTAACTTTCCAGGCTGTTTCTCAGAACTGGGCGTGGCATGCATTGTCCCAGACCAGGCATTCTGACTTAGAAAAGCATCAAGATAATGAAAATTGGCATCTCCTGTCCCACGAACATGTCAAGACAGAAGTCCTGCCAGCGAGCGTGAAATCAGCAGGTCATGCCCCACGTGCCCTGCTGCCGTTTTTTGCTGTTGAGGGAGGCGGGTGCTGCCTTGGGTACCGTTAGCTCATCCATGCCAGGGATCTGTGCCCTCCAGAGGGAGAATCACTTGTTCCTTGTCCCTAGGAGCCCTCTCAGGGTGATTTGAACTTGCCATTTTTTTCATTGCAGTGTTAAGTTCCCACTTAATGACAACATAGATAGAGTCTTCCTGATCTGATTGATGTTGGGCTTGCACCTTTACGAAGTTGCCTTTATGAAGAGACTGCTGGGTCTCTAGTTAGGCCCAAGACCCAGGAAGCTACCCCAGGTGCCTGGAGCAAGGGGGCTGCTGCTGCTCCAGCTGTGTGGGTGCGCAGAGCTCCTGCAGGATTGCAGACCCCTGCCTGGTGTGCTCTGGCAGGCTTAGGAGTCCTCGCTCTTCCTCACACCGCAAAGCCCATCAGCAGCAGGTTTCTGCCTCCAGGAGTGGCTTGTCCCCATCAGAGCAGGGCTGGTGATGGGAAATCTTTGTTCTTTTCCTTTGTTAAGGTCGTGTTATTATTTTTTTTTTAAAGATTTTATTTATTTATCTGACAGAGAGAGATCACAAGCAGGCAGAGAGGCAGACAGAGAGAGAGGAGGAAGCAGCTCCCCGCTGAGCAGAGAGCCCGATGCGGGGCTCGATCCCAGGATCCTGAGATCATGACCTGAGCCGAAGGCAGCGGCTCAACCCACTGAGCCACCCAGGCGCCCCGGTCGTGTTATTTTTTAGATTTGGCAAACATGAAGGCAGCCCGCTGATTGCTTATTTTTACTGTATTCTTACCCTAGATTGTGACGCTGGGGGAAACCAGCCATAGACACAGTGCTAGTGAATTTTCTGGAAATAGCAGACTTGGGAGCTACTCTTGCGTACTAGCCAAATGCAGGTTTCAGAATCGCTTCTCACCCCTCTCGTGCCCCCCAGGCATGGGCATGGCTGGGCCAGGTCTGGAGACAGCTCAGGCGGCGCCCGTGAGACATACCTTCGTTGGCTCGGAACCCACCCACCCATTGCTCCCCAGTTCTCCATTCTCTTCCCGAACTCCTTTCCTTTGTTTTCCGAAGCCCAGCCAGCCCTTGAGAGCCGGGAAGATGGAGTGAGACTAAAGGAACCACTGCATTCTGGGCCGCTTCGTGATTCTCCCCTGAAGAGACACAAAGCCGACTTTGGTCATCAAAGCTCTAGCTTACGCCCATTTCTGTTGGCGAGAGATGGGCCTGCTATCAGCCAGGACTACCCAGTCCCAGGCGCTCCCCTCCTCCCACTCACCAGTGCACCAGGACACAGTCCGAAATACTTTCAGTGCCCGCCTGGCCACCTGCACCCCCGCTCCGGGCAGACTGCCCCTTGGCCTAGTGACATTGGAGGGGGGCCCCCTGGTGTCTCCTCTTGTCACCCCTGGGGGGTGAGGCTGGACAGCCAACAGGCAGGACTCTTCCAAGGGCCCTAACCCTATGAGCTCAAGTTCAAAACCAGCCTACAGGACCAGCGCATTTCCTGAGACGAGAAGGGGCTTTGCAACCCCGGGCTGAGAGTAGTCAAAAAGTTATCCATTTCAAGAACGCGTACAGCTGCCCTCCCATCCCCCCCACCCCCACCCCCACCCCCACCCCCGGTCAGCCCTGCTTCTTAGAACTGGCCACCTCATCGCTTCCCTCGCTTGCCATTTCATATGTGGCTGCCTTGTGTTGCCCGCGCCTGCTGTGCCAACACGTTTTTTTGCTCTGTGTACGTTTTGGTTTCGTTTGGGGGTTGCTTTTGACGATTTCCTTTGTTCGGTGTTCTGTCTCCCCTCACCTGGCTGTGGGGCTGCCTGACCCGCTGCTTGCCGCCTCCATAGATCCCCGTTGCGCAGCCGTCTGTCATGGACGACATTGAAGTGTGGCTCAGGACGGACCTGGTGAGACTCGACTTTTCTCTATCGTGCGCGGGCTGTGGCGAGGCAAGCGCTTCTGACGACAGGCCAGGGGCCACCGGCTGCTCCCCCAAGGGGTGGCGGAGGAGGGTGGCCAGCCGGCTCTGCTCTCCTGCCCTCTTGCCCACCCCGGGCTGTGGCTGCCCCAGTGCACCTGCTCCGGGCACGGCCCCTGAACCCCGGCTGCCCCGGGGGCCGCAGCGGGCAGGGCTCTGGCTGGCTCCAGAGCACACACTTGTCCCCGGTTAACTGTTCTGTAGCAGCTGTGTGTGTGCTTGGGATTTTTTGGTTTTGGGGGTTTGTTTTGTTTTGTTTTGTTTTTGTTGTTGTTGTTTTGCTTTGGGGTTTTTGGATCTTAGCGGGATTTATTTTTAATTTTTTTTTCCTTTTCATGTGAAATTCTGCACAGATGAGTTGGGTGTTTTGTTTTTGCTTTTGTTTTTCAATTTACTGTCATTCCCACTTCCCTAGTGTCTTCTGGTATCTTGGATTTAAAAGAACCCTTGCCCTAGAGACTGTTTAGCCACAGAGCTAGGATAGGAAGGTGAGGACATCACGCATCTGTCAGTGGCAGCAGGTCCCAAGAAAGGAGGGCTGCGGTGGCTGGTCCCTCCCTCTGCTGCTTACAGAGCACTTCCCTGGCCGCAGAGTGGGGGTTGTGGGCCAGGGGGCTGATGAAGAAATGCACTCTGGGAGGGGAAGCAGCTTGCCCAAGGGCATGGCTGGGCAGAGTCCCAGTCCTGGAGATACCTCATCTCTTCTTTCTAGCTGCCGCCTCTTTAGGGGACCCTGTCCCCAGAACAGAACATCTTTAACCACAGGGTTGGCCTGGCTGGCAGGGGGCTGCTGACTTGCCCACTTCTGCACCCCAGGGGGCCACCTCCCCACAAAGCTAGGCTTTCTGAAACACTCATTGCCCTGCAAAGAGAATCCCCTCGACCTCTTTTGCAAGGGAATGCCTGGAAAAGAAAGAGCTCGTCTCCCAGAAAGAAGTGAAGCAGGAAGGACCAAGGCCTTCCCCTCACAAGGGGGGCCCGGGGTTCAGAAACAGGCAGGGACCCATCCAGCAAGGCTGAGCACCAGGTCATGGCAGAGCCAGGAAGGAAGCCAGATCTCCTGGCCGAGCCCAAGGCCTTGTCCACTTCCCCATCCAGCTCGCTTCTCTGTCGCTGTGCAGTGACTTCCCAGGGACCACTGCATCCTCCAAACAAAAGTCTTACCCACCACATTGCTAAGAGCTCTCGGAGCTTCCATGGCTTCTTGGGGACTGGCAGCAGGTGACGGAATCTGGGCCACAGGAGGCTGCGGGACACGGCTTCTGGCGGGACGGCACTCCAGCGGCCAAAGACTGCCTCCTTGTCAGCCCTGTGCCCGGAGCTTTGTGGCGCTCTCGCAGTTCACAGCTGTGGGCACGGACAGCGTGTTCCCAGATCCATGCGGCTGCTGAGTGAATGAGCACCTGAGGGGGCCCTGGGCACGCTTTGGGCTCAGCCTCCCTGAGGCCCCTGCTCTGGGAGAGTGTGGATGGGTGCACAGCAGCCTGCTCTGGTCCCGTCTGGAGCTCAGCCCAGAGAGCCAGCCTGCGCCCTTTTTTTCCTTTTCTTTCTTTCTTTTTTTTTTTTTTTTTTTTTTTTTAATTTTCTTCCTGGCTCTTCCCGAGCATCAATGCCTAGAACCACTCAGTTTGGGGTTTTTGTTCTGTTTTTTGTTGGTTTTGCTTTTTGGAAAAACAAACGTCCGAGTCTCTGCTGGGACAGGCAGTCCTCAACTGTTGCGGAACTCCGGGAAGGGAAATGGGAGGGTTGGCTGAACCCATGTCACCAGGGTGGGGCCCTAATGCTGCTCTCTCTGCTCCTCCCGCAGAAGGGCGATGACCTGGAGGAGGGCGTCACGAGTGAAGGTACGACCTGGTCAGCACCTTGACAGCTCCCCACCCTCCATCGGTTCCTCCTGCCCAGGGCTCTTGGGGTGCACAGGAGCCGGCACCCACGTGGTCTCGGGCCTCTCCTGGTGCCCATCCGTGCTTGGCCTGGCCTCCTCTGCCATGGGCTGCTCTGCTCTGCCCCAGCCAGGCCCTGTGCTGATGAGGGGAAGTGTCAGAAGAAGGTCCCAGAGCTAGTGATGAGTGGGGTCAGACGGCCATCCAAGGTCAGCACGGCCCCCAGACCTGCAGTCCTAACCAGTTTGTCCCTCCCCCCGAATTCTCAATCCAGTGGAGATGCAAGATATATGTCCGGGAGTCCACAGGGCACAGAGGGCACTTCTCAGGCCTGGCGTCCTGTGACCTCACTTCTGGAGGGCCAGTGGCCCCCTTCCTCCTGTACCACCTGTCAGCAGCCAGGCTTCCTGTTTGCCTGGGAGGCCACAGAGGAGGGAATCAAGGCTGGGTCTTCAGGCAGCAGAGGGCCCGGATTCAGCCCCTGTGCAGGCTGGCTGCTCCCCTGCCCCTCCCCGCCTCCTTTCCTGGCAGGCAGCCCAGGGCCAGGGTGGTGAGCATGGGGACTTGCACAGGGGCGACTCCTCTTGGCACAGGAAGGGGACTCCACGGGGAGCAGGTGGGATGTGGTCCTTTGAGCCTCACTGCAGGTCTAACCCCCTACCAATCCCGGCCCTTGCCCGGGGTTTTATATTGCAGAATTCGACAAGTTCTTGGAAGAAAGAGCCAAAGCTGCTGAAATGGTCCCCAGCCTCCCCTCGCCCCCAGGGGAGGCCCCAGCCCCAGCCTCAAACCCCTCTGGCCGGAAGAAGCCAGAACGGTCAGAGGACGCCCTCTTCGCCCTGTGAGCTGGTCTGTGGTTCGGCTCCCTAAACGGCAGGTCATCTCCTATCTCCCCGGTCCACAAGAGGCACTGGCCGCCCCTCCCATCTCCAGTCCCCACTTGGTCCTGTGCTGCTGTGTCTCCATGGAAATGCCCCGTGTTTGCTCCCAGGCCTCCCACCAGTCGGGACCAGCTTTAGCCACCTTCTTCTCTCTGGGGGGTGGGACAGTGCCACGGCTGCCAGAGGCTCTCACCCCTGCCCCCGCCCCTCCTGCCCACAGGCTCCCTCTGCCCGTATGTCCTCCCTGGAAAAGCAGGCTGTGGGACCATTTGCCGAGGAGACACCTGGACTGTCTTTTCTCCAGTCCCCTTCCCACAGAGAAGGGGGTCAGACCCCAGGCCCTTCCCCCACATAGCCCACCCCTGCCTGCCTCAGCAGGTCTCCTTGGACTGGCCTACCCTCCCATGCCCCTGTTCCAGAAAGGGCTTGTCTGCACCTGTGGGCTTAGTCTCCCTCCTTGGAATGCTGCTCCCTGACGCGTGTCACGCTGTGGCACTTGGCGTGCTTGGCACTTTAGAAAGCTGTGTGGGTGCCCGTGTGTGAGGCCTCTCATCCTCTTCACCCTCTCTCCATCACTAAGCTGCTAGCCCAGGCCCCCCAGCCACGCCGGCTCAGCGGCTGAGCCCGGGACCAAGGGGGCCCCATAGGCTCCTGGGGTGCAGAGGGAGAGCCAGGGGCAGTTGCGAGGACGGCATGCAACCTGCGGATGGTGGTCATGAGGCACGTGGGTTAGCCCCGCAGAGGTACACTACCAGAAGCCAAACCACCCATGCCCACCACGTGCTGCCTTCGCGCAGTTGTCCCCGTGTCCCGACAGCCTGCCCTCCTCCCCCTGCCCCTACCCCAGACCCCCCTGGCCACCGACTTGTATCCTCTCTCCAAGCCAACCCGGAAGGCTAACACGAGCCTGAGGCTGACTATACTTTCTTCCGTTACTGGTGTGGCTCCTGGCCGTGGGCAAGGTGTCCGAGCCAGCCTGACCCACCCCTGTTCTGTGGTTGCCCGGAAGAAGGAAAGCACTGTGGCAGCTGCTTCCAGCCAGCCCGTGAGTCTCTGGGGCCCGGGTCAGTGTCCCAGTATGCGCTGCCCAGGTTTCCGGGCCAGACATGTTCGCAAGCCGTGGTGCCGTCAGCCCTTCCCACCTGGCAGCCGGAGCAGCGAGCTTGTTGACACAGGCTGCCTTGACGCAGGCTGACACCAGTGCCTTGGGCTCTGGGAGATGCATCTGGGGCTGGGCCTGGACACCTCCGTGCACAGCAAGGCGCCACCCGGCCCAGAACCCCTTGCCCAGGCGCGCGCCGCAGCTTCCCCATAAGAGGATGCTTGGGGTCTGGCCGGGGGCTCGTCTGGCAGGACCAGCTGGGGAGGTCACACTCCAGTTCCTCAGGGGACATGCAGAAGCTCCTCCTCAGAGATCAGAGCTCAGCCAGCCTAACTCCAGCCCTGCCCTTCCGGGCAGCCAGGGCCATGAACCTCCCTCTTCCCCCCGCCCCTGCGCCTCGGGCCACTGTCCCTCTCTCCGCAACATGGCTCACGCAGAGCCCCCCCGAGGCCTGCTTGCATGTTCACACGTCTGAAGTCAGCTGGCTTGACAGGAGCTGCAGAGAAGGTGGCCGGGATGGTTCGGCTGGACCCAGCGACCCAGGTGCCCGCCGTGTGGCACAGTCTAGAGCACTTGTCTCTGTGAGAGCCGGGGGCCCACCTTCGTAGCTGGGCCTTGGGGGGTCAGTCCTTTGACAGCCGCCGAGCCTGGCATCCTCTGAGGGAAGAACCGGCCTCCCTGCCTTATAGGAAGGGAGATCCCCAACAAGAACGGGGTCATGAGGGGAGAGGGGGCTCCTGGCAATGAATGAAGCCGAGGCCAGCGTCTGTCTGGGGAGACCACAGCACAGCTGCTCTGTACCCGTGGTCCAGAGCTGTCCCCCAACTCCAGGCCGGGCTTGGAGAGACCAGGCCAGCCCGGCGGTGGTGGTGGGTCCTGTAAGCTGACAGGAAGGTGCCGGCCCACGCAGGGAAGTGTCATCTGCCTTCCCGGCCTGGAGCTGCCCCTCCTGCTCCCACACGCATCAAGTCCAGAGGCAGCCTGCCTCTACCTGGAGGCCAAGGTGGCGCTTGAGGCCTGCCCAGAAAGCCAAGTCAGGGCCCAGTGGCCTTAAAGGGGTGCTGCCCAGCCCTTCCTGTCCCCAAGGCCATCGGCCCCCTCAGCCACAGACTGCTGGCTGCCTTCCACCTGGGGAGCGCAGGCTACCTGCTTAGGGAGGGGAGCAGAGTTCTGGCGGGTGAGCTGGCCAGTGCCTGTGCCCCAGGAGAGGGAGACCCCTCATGAGCCACCAGCCTTTCCACAAGTGTTAGAAATCACAGATACAGTATGTACTTAATTACACTAAATTATTGCTGGGATTCCTTATAAGCACTAATTATACCTGATTATAGGTTAAAATATTTATTTTGTCAAAATATTTTCTTGGGGATGTGTTGAACCTTTTCTGTGTTCTTTGTGTGCTAAGACGAGAAAACTAGCCATGGCTTCCCGCCTGCCTTCGGGGCCAGTGGGCAGCAGTGACCCAGGGCCATGGTGGGCTTCTGGCTGGCCTGCCGCAGAGGGGTCCCTGTCCGGGAGCCCCAGGCACCGAGCCGGCCGCCTGGGGCCAGGCCGAGAGGTGACCTGCCTGCTTGTCTGTGCAGGGGACAAGGGCTTTCTCAGCTGACAGGGCTTGTCGCCAGTGTGGGCCAGAGGAAAGGGTGACTATTCGTCTGTTGTCTGTCCTCCTGTCTTTCACTGTCAGCCCCATCCGTGTGAGCAACCATGCTGTCTGCCGGGGCTTGCTGCCCTTCCCCTGCTCACCCAGGGGTCCAGAGCAAGGGGGCCTGCCCTGCCACGCAAGGCCCCCAACTGGGAGAGTGGTGGCAGGGACGCTGGATGGCTCCGGGGGGCAGCAGGCACCCGGACTCCTCCAGCAGCGTGTGGCAGACGGCTGCTCGGCCTCCCACACACCCTCCCCTCCTCTTCCTGCCGCCCACCCCCACTTTGCCTCCACATACACCCGTTTCCGACTCCGTGCACCCAGCCTTCTGGATGGTTTGAGGGGGACTGTGGGCTCACTGGGGAAAAGCTGCCGCCAAGAGTCCTGTGTTCTCAGCCCGGCCACCGTGAGCCTCTTCTCCCTGTGCTGGCAGAACGCTGTCCGCCCCTGTGGGGAGTAGCCAGCTTCAGCGCCTTGGCTCGGGGCGTGTGCACCTCCAGAAGACGCCCCTTGAGGTACCCGCCTGTCCGAGTGCCCACCCCCTGCCCTCCCGGTCCGTGGGGGTCCGCGCCGGGCTTCCCCTGCAGCCAGCAGCCCCTGGGGACAGCTGCCAACCCCAGAGTTCCACTCCTTCCGTGTATAAGATCTTCAGGCTCTTCTGGAGGACAGGGGATGGATATTTATTTCCTAAAGTTTGCACTTAATTTGTGAGGGTCTCAGGATCGTCGGGGGCTACCGTGAAGAGAACTGTGTTGTGTCTGTTGTCCAGCTGTCCCCAGAGTCTGGTGTTATGTCACTGTTGTGCGTTTCTGCGGGCAGAGCCGGGTCTGGAGGGCGGGTCCGTGCACTTGAGCCTGAGCGCATCTACCCACCCACTGGCTCTCCTTCCAGATGTTGTCTCTCTAGTTTGGGTTCTTGCATGTAAAATACTCCACAATAAACAAACAGACAAACTGTTCTTCTGTGATCTTTGTGGAGTCCACTGTGACGGTGCAAAGGGCCTGCCTGTTCTGGACACCTCCTTTCTCTAAGCCGGGGCCGTCTGGGGGGTCCCCTAGAGGGATCAGCTGGGGGGGCTTGCTCCGCTCTCCCCTGAAGCACGCCCGGGCTGCCTGAGCAGGGCCAGGGGAGTCTGGGCTAGAGGAAAATCCCCATGCCTGTCTCAGTTCGGCTGTCCTGGGGCATAGCCTGGTTTGGGGGTGTTGCTTGTAGCAGCGAGAAACCTGCCACGGCCTCTGCCTGAGAGCTCTCCCATGGCCTGGGGTTCTTCTTGTGTCTCAACCTGGGTCCCAGGCCCTCGGCCCCACCCAGAGCATCCCAGGCCTTGAGCCAGCAGGCCTGAGCCACTGCCTCAGCCCCGCTCCGCCGGGCTCCCCGGGCTTGGCCTGGCATCCTCCAGATTACCCACACAGCTTGGGCTGGGCACTGAATTTGAGAGCCGCCGCTCTGAGAACCCCTGCCCCCCGCCCCCAGGGTTAGGAACAGCTTTCTTGAGATAAGATCCACATAGCGTATAATGTACCCTTGTAAAGTACACGATTAAGTAGCCTATATTTTTTGTTTTTAAGATTTTATTTATTTACTTGACAGAGACACAGCGAGAGAGGGAGAAGCAGGCTTCCCGCCGAGCAGGGAGCCCGATGTGGGGCTCGATCCCAGGATGCTGGGATCACGACCCGAGCCGAAGGCAGACGCCTAACAACTGAGCCACCCGGGCACCCCTATTTTTTGCTTTTCTTAAGGAGGCTCCACACCCAGCACGGAACCCAGCGCGAGCCTTGAACTCACGACCCTGAGATCAAGACCTGAGCTGAGGTTGAGTCCAGCGCTTCATTGAGCCCCTGGGTGCCCCTGGGTAGTTTTTAAGTTTGTCGCAGAGTTGCACAACCATCGCCACAATCAATTTTAGAGCATTTTCAGCATCCCACGAAGCAGTAACCCCTCCCCCACTTCCTATACCCTCCAACCCTCTCTCCCTTTTAGAAAAGTTTCTGGGGGCACCTGGCTGGCTCAGTCTATGGAACATGCGACTCGTCCTTGGGGTCATGAGTTCGAGCCCCATATTGGGTGTGGAGATAAAGAAAAAAAAAAATAGGAAGGTTTCTGTCCTCTCCACCCGTCCTGGGAGCTGGCCATCCTGCCCTGGGGTTGTTTCCGGGCCACAGTCCTCTGGGCTGCAGGCCTCAGCAGGCCCAGAGGTCCAGGGGTCCTTGAGGGGTGCAACTTGGGGGCCACGTGGTGCCTGCCTCTTCTCTGCGAGGCTCAGAGGAGACTGGGAGCCCTTTGATCCTTACATGTTCCGGGGGTTTGAGGATGGACCTCTAGTGTGGTGGACTCATCAAGCCGCCAGTGAACCTGGGAAAACTGCAGAGACAGGGCTGGGAAGATCCTCTTGCCTAAGTTTGCCCAGGGCTTGGCAATGGGGGCCAGCACTGCAACTCAGACCTTGGACCTCCTAGGCCAGGGCCATGGAGGGGTGGGTGGCACGGGAGGCCGTCCTGTCCTCCTGGAACAGCAGCCCCATGGGAAGGTAGCTCAGCAGGGGGCTGCCCTGCCTACTGATAAGAGGCAGGTGGGACCCTGTTGGGAGGCCACTTGGGGACCATCACCAGCCCAGGTCAGAAGCAGCAGGACAGCTCCTTTGAGCCAGTTGCCTCGATGGGCTCTAGGGACCTCTGCAAAGGCTCTGCCTGTTTCTGGCCAATCAGAATAGGATAGAGGCTCCCACACTAGGGGGAGTGTGGGGGTGGGCCTCTGAAGTGTGGGTGACCCCCAGTCCCCAGTCCCGGTGACTAGAAGGCGTGGATCCTGAGCTCTGTTCCTGCCCTGTGGAGAGTGGCTTGGCCCCGAGGTAAGCACCGTGCACTTGCCAGGACGCCCCATGCACTTTCAGCACCTGATCCTGAGATCCTGCTGTGTGCCAGGCTGGTGCCCGAGGGGAGGGGCTGCTTGAGTCCTCCCCTCGGAGAGCTCACAGCCTGTTCAGTTCCCAGAATCAAGGACACTCTGTAGCCAGGAAGCCCTGGAGCCCTCTTCCAAGGCGTGCAGAGTGGGGGAGCAGCCAAGGCCCAGAGTAACTGAGCTGCTTGAAGTGGCAGTAGTGAGCAGGCCAGCCACAGGGGAGGGAGAGGCTGGTGAGGCAATTCTGACCTAACAGACAAGCCTCCTGGGAGAGACCTCAAGATCCCTGGCAGTCACTTGCCAAGACGCATTTCCCCAGTCCATTAACAGCTGTTCCTAAAAAGGAGGGGTTCTCTGGGGAAAGATGTTTGGGAAATGCTGAAGTAAAGTCACGGAGCGTCAAGATCTCTTTGTCCAAGATAAAGGTAGTTTGTGGCCCAAATTCCTCATTTAGAGATGCCATATTAGAACTTTTTAGCTGTGGTAGAAAGATGGTGGATTTAATCAGGAAGAGGAATTTCGTGGGTTATGGAACTGAAAAGTTCTGATAGTTCAGCTTCAGGCATAGCTGGATCTAGGTGCTTAGGGATTTGTTTGGGAATCTGCCTCTGCTTCCTCTGGGTAGGCTCTTCCATGTGGTTGACAGAAAGCTGTCTGCAGCTCCAGGCTGACTTTCCACTAGCAGAGAGAGGGTACTGCTCTCTCAATAGTTGTAGCAAAGTTCCTGAACCCACTCTGAAAAACCAGACTTTGGCAGAGGGGGCATGAAATCTGAGGAAACTGGGCACCTGGCTGGCTCAGTCCATGGAGCTTATGACTCTTAATCTTATGGTTGTAAGTTTTAGCCCCATGTTGGGTGTAGAGATTACTTAAAAATAAAATCTTAAAAAAATATATCCAAGGAGGCATTAGGTGGCCACTGCAGTGTGGGTGGAGAGGGCCAGAGATGGCAGTGCACAAGGAGGGGTGGAGACTTGGATAGAGACAAGCTTCTGGATTCCTCTCTCAGTGCTCCCTCATCAACCTTTGGTTGCCTCCCTTCACTGGAGCCTGGGAGGAGCTGCTTTCCAGCAATAGTTGGCTTCCCCAGAGATCTGGAGGGCGCCATGTGGGAACACTGTGGGTCTTATCATTGCTTACAGTCCCCCCTGCTCGCTGGTCACACTGAAGCACCTGAGGAGAAGAGGCTTTTCCCAGCCCATCTCTTTTCCAAGGAAAGGGTCTCTTTAGGGTCCCCAGGGACCAGGGGTGGGCAGAACAAGAGGACTTGAATAGGCATGAGTCACCCAGAAATTCCAATTTATTTCAGAGGACCCCCTACCAGGTCTTGCCCTCAGAGGAGTCTGGCCAGGGCCTCCAAGCCCAGGCCCTTGGCATCCCAGGAAGCAAAATCTCTGTCAGCACTGGGGGGTCAGTGGGATGTTTCTGGAAACTGAGTGGACTCCTCTGCCTGGTGCCATCTCCCCCCTCCACCCCCATGTCCGCTCTAAGAGTACCCTACCAGGGGTGGCAGGCTTCCCTGCAGGTCCCTGAACGAGTCACTGGTCCTCTCTGGGGTATACTCCCCGATCTATAAAGTGGGATTACAGGTGGTCAGCCCAAGACTTACAGGGGCCTTTTTCTTATACTCATTTACGAGTGGAGTAGTCTAGGTCTGATACCCGGGGACTGATGGGGACAGCAGAGATGCCACAGCCCTGGCTAAAGGGGCATACCAGTTGCAGAGCCCGGTGTGGCTCAATACTCCCATTTTTCACGGAAAGCCAGAAATCCAGCCTGCAGATGGCATCTTCTACATTTGACAGTTAATTCAAAATCGGAACCCATGTAGCATTGGATTTGGCAGGTAAAGGTCAAGTGATGTCTGGGGTCCCCATTCTCCCTACTGGCAATTCAACCCACCCCATTCTGTGAGTCCCACTCAATCTACACCTGGCCTCACCCCAGATAGCTGGTTGACCCCCAGGGGACCCATGTCCCCCCTCATTCTTCATTTCTGTCAGCTTCACCCCTCAGCGCAGTGGAACTGGTGGGTCCACCAGATCTTTGGTGGAGTGTCTACTGAATGGACTCCTTGATAATCCTGGAGGTCACCGCCGTGAGTGAGCGTCTTTGGGCAAAGCTGACCCAAAAAGCTCAGAGAGGGCTAGAACTATTTTGCCCAGCACACAGCAGAGGCTAACGCAGAATGAGAATACAGGGTCAACTAGGACTAGAATCATCTATGTCAACAGTGATCTGGTTCCATTATGTCCAGAGAGGGGGAAATGAGGCTGCAGCCTAGCTCTGTGCTCTTTGGCCCCCTTGGCCATCACCTGGGCAGGTCCTAGCTTAGCTACCACAGAAATGAAGGATAAACTGGGGCAGGCAGGGTTGACGGTGGACTCCTGGAGTGGGGAGGGGGTCTCAGCTTTCTCCTAGTCAATGCCCAGGGTGGCCAAGCCCAGCCCTCTTGCCCAGTGCCAGGAGCCCTGGCAACTCTAGTGCCTGGCCCTCTCCGTACCCTTGAGCTCTGCCAAGAGAGCAGCCTGGAAAGAGGCCGTGCCAGCCTCCCGGCAGGACACCTACCCAAAATGTCTCGGAACCCACAGATGCCTGTAAGTCTCTGAGACGTCTGGAGAAGTAAGGGGGGGACATGTGTACCCCTATTTCACGGCTGGGTGACCGCGCGGAATCCCCCGCGCTGGGAGCTGGGCGTGTCCCACGGTCCTGAGAGCCGAGGGCCCAGCCCCGGGCAGGGGGCGGGGCCGTCCCACGTCAGCCCCGCCCCCGTGTCTGGACGCACACCTGGCGGCAGTCCCAGCCAGGTGTCTGGCCAGGAGGCCGGGCCGAAAAGAGCAGGCCCAACTGGCCCCAGGGGCCCAGACCCTGCCAGCCCGCACCGCGGACCCACCCCCGGGTCGAATGGGCGCGGCGCATGTGACCCAGGGCCCGGCTCCCGGGAGTTTCGCGCTGACGCCGCGTCACCCCACTCGGGGCCGGGCGCCCATTGGCTGCGCCGCGGCCCGCGGGGGCGGGACTTGTCTGGCTCCGCTCCCCAACTCCCCTGGGTCTCCG